CTTAAACATATTTAGGTTCTCTAATACCATTTATCTTTTGTAGACTCTCTTTAGATTTACAGAATTACTTAGAACTTACAGTAAGGCTTTAAGGGAATGTAATACAGTCCTGGTCTTGGCCTGGAACAGATGGCCTTGAAAGCCACTGGTGGATATAGTGTTAAAACGCATCAAGCTCATTTAGGTTTTAGGGCACAGGTTCTGAACTTTTTTAGTCACATTCTTTTTCTATGTTGATGACCCTTTGGTTGTCTGCTGAAGCCTATGGACCTCATCTCAGAATCATGTGTTTGAATGCAGAAAATATACAGAATTACTAAGAAAAAAACCTAATTACATTGAAATGGTTATAAAAATATTTTTTAAAAACAAGTTCACAGACACCAGATTAAAAACCTCTTTTAAGGTTTGGAAGTGTCTGTACTTCTGGGCTTGCTGCCTTACTGCTAAAAAGCTCCTGCCCTTGTGTCTATACCTGGAATCTAAGAAGCAGGAAAGTTCAGCAGCTCAACTTTCTCCCTCTTCAGATATCGAGCCTTTAATTAGGTGACTAATACTTTAGTCTGAATCTCATGTGCTCAGATCCTTCAAGGACTTCCTGAAATTCACACAAGAAAAAACAAGCAAGAATTGCCTCTTTCTCCTTGTGGCTTTCTCCCTCTATTCTTACATCCTATTTTTCTTTCTCTGGCTCTCTTTAGCTGAACTAAAACATTCCATAACACGGTGGCTTTACAGCCTGCTTGATTCCTGTGACCTTAAATTTCTAATTGGAAGAAACACCATATGTAGGCCTATTCAATGTTAGGTTGCTTTTGACTATGATTTTTCATAGGTCCCTTCCTCTACTTCAGGAGTTTTTAACATTGGGTCCATTTATGGACAGATTTCAGGGACTCCCTGAAGTTGGATAAGAAAAATGTTATATCTTCATTTTCACTATCATCTAACTGAAACTGAGCATTTTTCATCTACTATAACATATGCAATAAACATTTTTTTGAGACTGGGTTCAGAGGTTTTGCCAGGCTGTTAATTCAGATTATCACCAAAAAAAAGAGAAAAAGATTAAGAACTACTCTAGACAAGAGGCCTTTCAATATTTTCTGGATTCTTTTCTACATTAGGTGTGGTCCCAAATTCTATGAATGACAACAATTAATTAATTAAACAATTAAATTAAGATGTCAACAATTAATCCCTGAATTAACAGAACAATTTAAATCTTCTTTTAATGTCTAAAAAGGTGCCAAGAGGGCAGGGAGACTTTTTTTTTTAGGTTTTAGGCAATTGGGGTTAAGTGACTTGCCCGTGGTCACACAGCTATTAAGTGTCAAGTGTTGGTCTGAGGCCGGATTTGAGCTCAGGTCCTCCTGACTTCAGGACCGGTGCTCTATCCACTGAGCCACCTAGTTGCCCCTGAGACTTTCTAACAAACATTTGTTGAGCACCTACTAATTTGATGTGCCTTGATCTTGGTCAGTTTTTTTTTTTCAAATTGATTTCTTTTGTAGTACTATATACAGGCGTTCAGGATGCAAAGCCAAAAATGAAAAACAGTCTTTGCCCTTAAGAAACACACAGTGGGGGGGGGGGGGAAACAGCATATACAAAATAAGTATTTATAAGATAATTTGAGGTGACAGACAGTACCAACAGCTAGGCAGGACAAGAAAGACTTCCTCTAGAAGGTGGTACCTTTGAGAGAAGCTAAGGAGCCTAAGAGGCAAGGGTGGGAAAGGTATGCATTCCAGGCACAGGGAACAGTCTGTGTGGCAACAGACAATGTTTGAATTCAAGAAATAGCTAGTGCCCCAGTTTATCTGGAACACTGTTAGACCAAAAAAAAAAACCCATAACAATAACAACCAATTACCTACAAAGAACATTTGCAAGTCTTTCATACAAAATCCAGATAACTAAATCAAGAAATTATTGTTTTCTATCTCTCTGTTCCAGAAGAAACTGCTTCAGTTTTGTGAACATGTTAATTTGTAAGATCTGTCATCATAAACTTCTCCAAACAATATTTTACATTGTTATGTTCTATGTAGTACTGCAGACTGATATTTTGTGAAAAGAGCAAAGGGACAGAAGTACATAGAAATAATGTCATACATGCCAAGTTGAACTTTTCAAAGAATTAAACTTAATGAAATAAGGAAAGGAAATCCATCTTGAAATAAATGAAGACTGAGGCTTTGATAACAGTGAACTTCAGAAAAACTTGGAAGGACTTTTATGAACCGATGCTGAGTGAAATGAGCAGAACCAGGAGAACACTGTATACAATAACAGCCACACTGAGTGAAGACTGACTTTGATAGACTTAACTCTTCTCAGCAATGCAAGGACCTAAGACAACTCCAAAAGACTCAGGATGGAAAATGCTATCCACATCCAGAAAAAGAACCATGGAGTCTGAACGCAGATGGAATCATACTATTTGCTCCTTTTCTTTTGTTGTTTTGTTTTGTTTCTTCTTTCTGGTGGTTCCTCTCATTAGTTCTAATTCTTCTTTACATCATGACTAATGTGAAAACTTTTAATATGATTGTGTAAGTAGAGCCTGTACCAGACTGCGTGCCATCTTAGGGAGGGGGGAGGAAAGGGAAGGGGAGAAAATTTAAAACTCAAAATCTTATGGAAGCGAATGTTGAAAACTAAAAATAAATAAATTTATCACGTTAAAAAAAAAGTCATGATTCAAAAATATCCTGACAGGCTAGAACACTGAACCAAATCTAACAAGATAAGGTTTAATGGGAATCCAATTCACATTCATTAAGCACTTACTTCATGTCAGGTACTGTGCTAAGAGCTGGGGATACAATAATTAAAAAAAAATCCCTGCCCTCAAGGAGCTCACAATCCAAGGAGGGAAAGCAATAGGGAAAAAGAGGCAATAAAGGGGGTGGGGGTGGGAGGAGAGACCCAGGGGGTTCCCAGGTGCAGGAGCATCTTATTCCCTGGAATTGAAACCAGGGAGAGTAGCAGATGCAAAGTGGAATGTGCAAAAGTCCAGTAATAACTACAAAGTTTTACTCTTTATTAAGTACAAAATCTTACATTTGGGTTCAGTGGATAAAGCACTAGTTTTGGAGTCAGAGAGATCAAATTCCACCTATGTGACTGTCCCACAAATCCATGTAATCTGTATCTGTTTCCTCATTGGTAAAATGAAGAGGATCAGAGATCATCTCTAGCAGGGGTAGGGAACTAAACTGTTCTTGGATTCAGTCAAAGGGCTGCACTTGACGACCTAGAGGGCCACATGTGACCTGGAAGCCAAAGGCTCCCCACCCCTGATCTTTAGAGTTCTTTTTAATCGATTGATCCTACAATCCTTTCCTATAACCTTCAGGAAACGCAGAAACTGGTCATTAAAATGTTTAGGTATTGTAAATTGTAATGGAAATTGTATTGTATTGTAAATGTAAAATGTAAAAATATTCTATTGTAAATTTAATGGAAAAAAATTACCTGGAAGGAGTTAGATTTGAGCCAAGTAGCACTGTGTATGTACTCTTCTACGTTTGGACTTTGATTCCTGATTTTTCACTATTAACAAATTTGTGTAGTCAAATAGATTATAACCACCTACAATACTGCTATACACAAATATTTGAGTGTTGTTTGTCTACACACACGCCTCCCTCCATCTAAGCTTCTGTTTACACATTTTTAAGGAAAGAACTTGGAAGAAGTAAGGTCTAAAAGCCTGGGGCTCTAGTTCACTGTTTTAAGACAGCTAAAGAGATCTCTTGGCCGAGACTGGTAATCACCACACAGAAGCCAAGAATTTTAGTTATTGCTGTTATTATCATTTTACTGTACAGTTAACTAATCATCCTTCCCCTAAGAGGTAGGATCTCAGAAGGGACTTAAAGGCAGCCAGTGAGCTCCTAATCAGAGTAGAAGCATGGGGGAGACAGCCAGAGAAAATGCCTAGAGCCAAGAGATGGAGGGTCTTTTTCGAAGAGTCCGAATAGGTGCAAAATAATTATTCTGTGGGATGCTTATAGGACGCCTGTAGATTGTAAAGCATTAAGCCCGCTCAGGTTAAGGCACTGGGGTGGGGGATAGAGGCCTATTACGGGGGGTGGGGGGTGTTGGGGTTGGGGGCGGTGCTTATACCCTCACACTCAAAATTCTCTTAGTTGTGGCCTGAAGCAAATTCCTTTGGGGACCTCAAACGCTGTCCCCTGCACCTTCTCCAGAAACAACAAAAAAAACCCCTAAAAAACAAAAACAACACAAAGAACACCCCTAACTCAACTAGAAACTTCTTTTTAAAACTTCCATAAGGTCAAGGGATGGGGGGCGGGCACGGTCTCCTCCGCGCACGGCTCGGTAGACCCACAAACCAAGTCAAAAACAAAACATGAAACAAAAGCGCACAGGTCCTAGCTCCCCGCCCCACCTCGGCACGCTGCCTCCGGGACCCTCGGGACTGCCGGCAGCCCAGCCACGCCTTCCCGAGACTCTGGTTCGAGCTTTCCGCCGCCAGCAGGGAAGAACGCCGAGACCTCAGGAGCCCCAACGGTTGGGCCTGCACACCGAGAACAACCAGTCTCTGGAAGGGAGTGTGGGTGGGAGAGAAGGCTGCAGCCCCGGGGGGAAGGGGGGGAGGGTGTTGTCCAGCGCAAACTACAAGTCCCAGGAGGCTAGGCTTCGCGAGGTCAGAGGAGCCGCGGGGCCTGTCGGAAGTTGAAGTACTTCGACCAGGAAATACCGCCCCACCCCCGCCCATCCCCATCTGCTTTCTCCCGCCAAAGGGAGAAGTGGTTTGACTTCTGAGGATGGACCGTTCTTCCTGTACCTAGGGGACCGCCCCGGCGACCCCCTCTACCATGAAACCGTCTCCGTGTGCTCCCACTTTCCTTCTCTTTTCTCATTCGTCCCATCCCAAACGGCTCGAAACTTTCTCCTTCCCCAGACCCCGGCAAAAGTCACCCTCATCTCATTTCCGCTGACTGGTCTCGGTAGGGTCGTCGCGCACGCGCCCGTGGCGATTCGGGCGACGCTGACTTCCGCTCCCAGAGTGCACCTCGAGCCGAATCATGGACCACACTGGTAAGGAGGTGGAGGGGGGGGTCTCGTTTACATGGACCCCTCGGCCGGCCCGAGACCCGCAGTCGCCCGGCTGGCGTAGCGGAACCGGCCTCGTCCTGAGGGGATGGGTTGCAGTGGCGAGGGAGGACTTCTACACACTTCCCTTCCTTCCCTTCCTCCTTCTCTTCCGTGCCCGGCTGGGGCCTGATACCTCTCGGCCTACACCCCTCCCTTCATACCCCCCCCCCCCCAGTCCCCCCGCGCTGCAGCCTCGGCGCCGTCTCGGTCCAGAGTGGGACCCTGGGGCTGCGTGGGGGGCGCCGGCTTCTCCCCGAGGCCTCCTTCCCCTTCTCTGCCCTTCCTTCCCCGGTCTTCGGCGTTTCGCGGCTTGTGCCGGCCGGGGCTATTTTCCAGCCGGTTTAGGGCTTTGGGGAAGGGAGGGGACCTGGGGACCTTGGGGAGCGCAGCCCTGGCTTTGTGGGAGTCGAGAGACCAGGCTAGACGTCCCTGCAGTTTTCTCCTCGCTCGCAGCCGCGGGCGGATGCTTTGGTTGTCCCAAAGCTTCGTTGTTGTAGGTCCCCTGTGTGTGTTGTAGAGAGGGCGAAGGAGCCGGATATGATCTCAAGTTCCACTTTAGCGCAGTCTTTGTATAAAGTCCAAACCGTACCCTACCATTACACCCCTTTCTTTTCACTGAACCTTGTCATTTGAGTCTTTTGCGGTTGGGAGCCTAAAACCAAGGGAGCTTCCTCATTTTTAACTCAGCTCATCAACAACTCCTCCCTCTCTCCAGTCTCGGCCACTTCGTTAACCATGCTTTTTTGGTGCTTTGTAAACAATGCTGTAGGATGTCTGTAGTCCATAAAGTAAAATCTTGTGTGCCTGGCACTTGTTGTTAAGTCGTGTTGGTCTCTTCGTGACCCCATGGGCCATAGCACGTCAATATTGTACAAACCCCAAAACTGGGCTTTTCTTGGCAAAGATTCTGGAGTGGTTTGCCATTTCCCCAGTGGATTAAAGCAAACTGGGGTTAAGTGTCTTGCCCAGGGTCACTCAAGTCTTCCTTATTCCGGGGCATCTTTCTATCCACTGTGCCACCTGTCTGCCTCCACTACTTAAGTACTGATAAAAATGAAATCTTTGACTTTGTAACAGAGAAGTGTTCCCCCCTCCCCAAAAAGAGTAGCAAAATATTTACATTTGAGTCGGAAGTGAGACATTTATTTGGAGGCTTGTGTGTGTTTTAGGTGATCCTAGTATTTTTAAATTGAACCTGAGAAAAATTATGATAGGACCGCCAAGGATTGTTTTCTTATTCCAAGTTCTGTGCTCATTGTCAAAATACTTAAAAGGAAACTTAATGCTTATAGTGCATTAGAATGTGAGCTCCTTGAGGGCAGGGACCCTGGGTTGGTTTTTTTTGTTTTGTTTTGTTTCTGGCACGTAGCCCATGTGCCTGGTACATAGTAGGCATTTTATAAATGCTTGTTGACTTACAGTAAAAAATGTACTTTATTTGTGGTGTACTCTAGTTTTAGAAAGCATGGGTAATTATACTGTCTAGTAAACATGTTTTGTTTATGAGCGCAAAGCAGAGACATAGTACAACTTAAGACACAGAAGGGCAATTCAGTAAATAGACTTTACTAACCGCTGCTATAACCCCAGACCACAGAACTTTTCCAATTGTGAATTGTACAAAGACATACTAGTTAAGGCTTTTCTGTTTCATACAAAACTAAAACTGGGCAGTATTCAGCTGAGATATGAAGAGAAAGCAGTAATACATACTATTATTAGAAAAACAAATTTTGAACTTCTGGGAAAGTTAGAAGTGAGGTTTTAAGCATGTAAGAACCAAACTGGAAAGTTAATGGCCAACAATTCTCTTTATCTGACTTTTGACTCTTCTGGAAGTTTTTAAATGTCTTAACGAGGAAGAGAAGCAAAAATGAAAGGTAAAAGTGAAATAAGTTGATTTGGTTGAACTTTTAGTGAAAGATGTTAGGGAAATAGGCAGAAACTTGGCCATTAGAGATTTTTTGATATGTTTGATGATATTTTTCTCTTACCCTTGTTACTCCTGTCACCCTTGTTATTCTTGTCCCCACCTTATATTAAAACCATGGCTTGTTAAGGAATGGTTGTTATAAAATAATGCTAAGAAACTGGGAATGAGAAATATTTTGCATTATTTTGTTGCCATTTTACCTCTTGGAATTCCTACCATAAAACTTTCCTGATCTTCCCAATTGTTAATGCTTCTCTTCTACCCAAAATTACTTTGTATTTATTTATCTATGTATGTTATAAATGCTGTATAATAAAAAGCATTTTAATAAATACTGTGGATTGATTATTGATTAATATTGTTCCCCTTGTTCCCTTCCCATGAAGGCAGGGACTTAACTTTTGCTTTTGTATACATAGTCCCTAGCTTATAGCAGGCATTTAATAAATGCTTCTTGAAGTGCATTGTTTAAGGTTCAGTTTTGAATCTCCCTCTCCATATAATCGTAGATTCCTGTTGATTAAAAGAATGAGTTGTAGGATTGAGCATGAGCCTTTAATTATAAGAAACCTAGAAATATGGTCTTGAAGTTAGCTGTAGTTCATCAAGTTCAACTTAATACCTTCAAGGAGGCTTTACCTAAATCCATTCTGCACAGTTCTAGTTAGCTGTCCTAAAAATCTTTAGACAGCACAATAACTTCCTCAAGTGCTTAACAAATGTAACTGAAAAAAAATTTGATTAACTTAAATTTGGTTTAGATTTATAAGTAAAAAATAACATCTTTTCCTATAATTGGAAAGTTGCTCCTCAGCCTTAAACAGTTATTTCTGGGAAACAATGTTTGTGCTATGCGTTTAGAAGTGCATATTTCTCTACCCATGCAATCCAAGTGTTTTGGAGGTAAGGCATTTTGTTCTGTTTTACTATTAGTAATGAGCTTTACAGGTAACTGAGTAAGTAAGTGATTTATGGGGCCTGGGAAGCATGTTTTCGTCTGACTTAGACTTAGTTGACCTCATAGCAACATTGTACTTCTTTTAACCTACTTTTTTGGGTGGAAAAAAAGTACTGCTTTAACAGCAGCTCTGAGGTACGGTATGGGTCTAGGAATGCCTAAATAGATTATTTCTTCTTTCGCCTTTTTGTACCACAGAAACATGGCTTTTAGTTACTCTACTATTTATGTATATTTTAACGGAGAAAAGTATATGTTCTGTGTTACACCTCCTTTTAATAAACTGCCTGCATATGAAAATAATTTATTTTGTATCCACATCCCTTTAAAAAAAATCTTGTTTTGTTCACTTTAATAAATATATGAGTCACTTGCCATTTTCATAGACCTGTGCTAGGAAAAATATTTATTTTATACTTTGAAAGATCCAGGATTTCATTTGTGTGGGAGAGGGGGTCACTGCTACCCATACAGATAGCAACAATTTAATAGACAGTCTTCCTGAGTTGCTATGGCCAAAGAATTTCATCACCTAATGGCTAGTAACAAATGTTTACAAACCTCGTGAGGCTGGTCCTCAAGTGACAGCCTATCGGAGCGTTTATCTTTGAAGTCTTTCCAACTTGGTGTAGGACCTTTCAGTACTTACATTCCACTGGGGTAGCCCTAGAAAACCTAGTATCATCTCTGCATTGTGATAAGGTATCACAGGTGAGAATTTAGTGGAAGCTGGAAAAGATAGAAAAAGTTTAATTAAGACATGATCTCTTCTCTCATGGAACTAACAGATTGATGAGGAGTGGTCATGACAATGTTCAAGCATCTCTTATCAGCAAAAATACTGTGGGTTTGTTGGCAATTAAACATGTGGTTGTGGTATTTAAAATCAGGCCATCTGACATTAAAGCATGGTGATGTTTGGTAGGTTACTTCAAACCTTTAGCAGAATGTTTTAAGAAAGAAAACTGAAAGAAGTAACTTTTATTTTAATATAGACAATGATTTGCAAGGCACTAATAGTTCTGGATCGTTGGGTGGCCTTGATGTTCGAAGACGGATCCCTATAAAACTAATCTCCAAACAGACAAACAAAGCCAAACCTGCTCCTCGAACTACAAGGACTATGAACAGGATGCCTTCTAAGACACAACCTGGGGATGAAGGTAATAATTTGAAATAGCTGCTTGTCATGTTACTGTCTCTGTCTAGTAACATCCTGTCTATATACCTGTACTAATTTCCACAATGCAGCCCATGCAATTTTAATCTTTTACATTGCCTTCTTTCTTTTATTCATATACCACTTTAGCATTCTTTCCAATCCTAATTTTTTTTTAACTTTGCCTTTTAGTGTTTATGTATTTTGAAGTTTAAAAAAAAAAATCACCAATCTATATTAAGAGTTTTTTCCTACTCTCAACCCTTACCAAATATCTCTGGACAACTAGGAGTTTTAAATCTACTTTTCACTCTAAACACTGAAAGATAATGACCTTCCAGCCTGAGATGCAGTCTTCCCCTAATGATATGTAGGATTCCCCCTGGGAAAGGACTTGATTTGATCAGGCACCTCCCAGATGAGAAAACATGGTTTTTGCATTGATGTTACAATTACACAAAGGATAATAGTAGATGTATGGCCTGAAATGTTTTTGCTGTTGACTGGCTCAGAAATTACTGTGTTTCACCACATAGTTGCTTTTTTCCAGTCCACAAATTGGTTTATAATCTTTTGTTGTGTAATCGTCCAGTGGTATAATTGTTTGTCACGCTGCCTAAAATGTAAACAGAGCAGCAGTGTATTCACCAGTGACATGTGGATATGCATTTATCTTTTGAGCTTTGCAAGCCTCCAGCCTAGAAATATCAGAGCACATGTGCATTGTCAGTATGTTTTTGAAAGTATGGTTTGTTTAGAGTGCTTCAGTACTAAAGGTATTGTCACTCAACTCAGTGAAGAGCTGTGGCCAAAAAGGGAGCAGGTGGACTGGCAAAAGCTGCCACGAGTGTCACGTGATATGATAAGACTTGCATCTTCCCCAGCTAGCTAAACAGTACAGTATGTCTGCTAGTGATCCAATTTAGTAATAAATGATTTTTTAACTAATACCATCACAAAAAAAATTTTTTAAGCTTCACATAATGGTCGCAGCATATTTTGGGGGCAATATTGGCGTAAAATCTGCAGGCGATTATGCAGTGAAATGTAGTAGTTGCTTTTGAAAGTACTCTTTGCCTTCCAACCTTCTTTTGTTTTAAGGTATAGTTGGTGTGAAACCTATGAATGAGATAATGTAGTAGATTGGGGAAGCTTTTGAGAAACTTTCCAAGAGGCTACCACTTGATCACATTTGTTAAAGATTGCTCCAACTTTGTACTCTATTTTATTTGTTCCTTTTTAAACGCAAGGTAGTTAAATTCGAGTACTTAAGAGTAGCTCCTTTGTACCATGTTTAGAAAGTTCTCTCATCACCACTTTTCCTTGCTTATTATTTTTATTTGTTGTAGGCTATTTAGGCCAGTCTCGAAACTAACTTTGAAATGTATATATTGTGCCTGCTCTACTTCTAGTTACTATTCCAGAAGGCATAACAGAAATCTTCTCTTAACTTTCCTTTCTGAAATTGAAGTGAATTCTAAGTAGAATCAGTAGTGTTAAATCAGTTACCTGTATACTTTTAAATGAGGTGAGATAATTAAGGTTGGTATTTTAACCAAGCCCTCCAAATTGATTCCCCTTGTCCTTGATATTTCTCCAAAGTTGTATGTGGCACCAAATTGTTCTTGACTATGGAAAAGATACGTTTTCCTTGTGGTAAATAAACATTTATTAAGTACCTGCTATGTGCAAAGATGGTCCCTGCCCTCAAGGAACTTAGAATCTAATAGGGGAAGACTACATACAAAAGGAAGCTGAGGAAGGGGCCTGTATTGGGCCTAAACTGTGTAGGTGGTGGGAAATGGGGAGAAGACTGTCCTGAGCCCACTCTAAGTAGATGTTTTGGAGCTCATGGCTTCAGTCATAGGGTCCAATCAGAGGGTACCAATGAGATGTGAATACCAGGCAGATTCAATCTTAAGGCATACCTGAAATTTCCTAATGATGAGTTTCCTTAGGAAGGGCGGGCATGCTGGAGAAGTCCAGAGAAGTTCAAAAGCCATGGAGCTGGTGGTAACTCATCTATAACTTAGAGTCTGTAAAATTGAATCAGACACTCACGAGGTTAAGTAACTTGTCCTGGTTATGCAGGTAATTCTTGGGCCTAAATCTTCTGATTCCAAGAGCAACCCTTCAGTCATTACACCTTGCTGGCTCTTCTATTATTGTGTAGAGGTTATAATTTTTTTTTTTAAATGGTGACATTTGAATTTTTCTATTAAGCCTATTATTATTTTCATTTTAGAAATGAAAAGTGGAAGAATCTTTTTTATTTAATGATTCTGTCTCAGAACTTACTCAGGAATGAAAGAATTCCTGAAAAATGTTTTCATGTATTCATTATAAAGCAAAATAAAATCTTAGTTTTTCCTTTTGCAAAACAGATTGTTTTCTTAGACAATAACTTTTGTAAATGGCCTACAAATATGATAGTGAATATTGTAAAATTAAAGTATAACAAGAATAATGGAACCAGACCTGTGATTTCATTGGTGTGGAGATTCCTTATCAAGAAAAACTCACTTGATCAATGCAGATTGGCATCTTCTTTGCAACTTACAGTATTAGAAAGTGGCCTGGGATATAGAGAGGTTAAATGACTTAATTACTTAGGGACACCTTACCTGTATGTGTCAGATGCTGAGATTGCCTTTGGGGCAATCTTTAACCACTTTGCCAAACTGTCACAAATGAGGTTTTACTTTACCGTTTTCCGGAAAACCTAAATGTGTTTTATAAATGAAATGAAAGAATTTGGTCAATTGTTTACTAGGTGCACTTCAGCAGTGACTTAGTTTGGTTTGAAAAGTTTGTAGGTAATGCTTGCTTTTTCTCCTCAGAAGGATTTGATTATAATGAAGAAGAACGGTATGAGTGTAAAGGGGGTGACCTGTTTGGAAATCAGCGAAGGTTTCCTGGACACATTTTTTGGGACTTTCAGGTACAACTACTTATGTGTATGTTGGTCGATGTGTACATGTTTTTGGTTCCATGTCTGTGATTGATAATCTGTAGGGAACTAGGTGTTAGAATCACTCCAATTGATTCCAATGAGCAGTTTGTCTCTAATTTATAGTCCGAGTGTTACTTAAGTCACTGAAAGGTTAAGTAACTTGTCCATAGTCAGATAGTTAATATTTATCCAAGGCAAGACTTAGCTGGATGAGTCTTCTGATTCCAAGAGTGGTCCTCTATCCACTGTACTATGCTTTAATAAATATAATTTAAAATATTGTGAAGAACAGAATCATTACTCTTGGGATATGTTACATATTTATTATATTTTTGCTATGTGTAATGCACTGTACTAGGTGCCAGGTAAGATAAAAAGAAAGATAAAATACGGTCTCTGCACAATAATTTCACCAAAAAACTCATTTTAATGGCTATCATGACATTCATATAAATTAATTTTTAAATTAGCATTTGTGAAATAGACCCTAGCATACTAGGTATTTACTGTCAGTGACACTATTAATCTAGTTTAAGAAGGCAATCTAATAATAATAATGTCATTTCAACAGATAAACATCTTAGGTGAAAAGGATGATACTCCAGTCCATTTCTGTGATAAATGTGGATTACCTATTAAAATTTATGGGCGCATGGTAAGTATTATTAAGTTAAATGGGTTACCTGATAATGTATCATCTCTGTCCTATACTAACTATACAGTTTCTATCATTCCCTGTGTGAGGAAACACTGTAGAAGTTTTCTAGGGGAGGCTTTCTTAACCATTAGGCTCATGGTTCTTTCTCCCATACCTATAAAGATTCAGCAGGATGTCTTGTCCTTCCTGTGGAGACACATTTTGTTTATGACTTAAACCATTTCAGTCACAAATTTTCATGTGTTATCGATTCCCCTGTTTTAAGACCAGTCTTAATTTTGGTGGCTCTTTCCCTATTTTCACTAAACCTGGTAGAAACTTACTTCTCTTTCTGAACGTAAGCTGTTATTAGATGCCACACAGATGAAGCCTTGAACCATGTAGTGATGTTTTATTCTTTGCAGTTCAGTGCTTTGTTCACTATGTTTCACAGAGAGGGAATGATCCTAGATTTAGGCTTAGATTCCTTATGTTGCCTTTAAGATTCTGCAATTATCTTAGCCACAATAATGATCTGCATTATGATTGATATAAAACATACATTTTACTTTTAGCTTCTAATTTCCTATAAGGTAATGCACATGAGTGTTTTTTCATTATTAGTTAATGATGGTATCATATGCATCTCTATCATTGAAACTAATTATAATTTTTGTCAGTGACCACCAGAATCCCTTTGACCTCTCTTCCTTGTTTCCACTTCGTTTTCATTCAGCAAAATGTGTAGTCTCACCCCTACAGTCCACTAGTTTAACTCATCTTCCTTCATTCCTTTTATCACTAATAGTTCCTCTTGTTGTCTACCTACCTACTTCCTCCCCATCCCCTGACCACTACCTCTCCTTCTCTAGATTAATACGTTGACTGGGAAATGGGTAGTTTAGTTCTTTGCTCAGCTATTGTACTATGTTGAATTCATAGGTTAGTTTTATAACAACTGATTTGTTTGTTCCAGTTAAATATACATATGCATATTTCCTTATTTATGGAAGAGCAATATTATTCCCATATGGTGTTGCAGAGTATAAGAGTCCTATTATTGAAGTCCAATTTATAATCTAATGGACTTAGTTAATGGATAAAAGATTGTCTTGATTTTTCAGGTGGTGAAATTTAAACACATTATTTCCCCTCTCCCTAAAATTTTCATCCAAAAAAAGATAATTTTAAATTAATATTCTTAAATAGTTCAATAACTTTAAAAATCTGTTCATGTTTTGCTATATGGTGAAGTGGAATAATGGATAATAAATACAAAAAAGTCAGAGAACATGATAATATATGAGTTGCTATGTGACTTCAATTAATGATCACTACATTTTGTTTTGAGATAAGTGAGAAGAATATATTGAAAATAATTTGGACTTTTTTGGAAACATGATGTATATTAAATAGATTTAATTAAATTATATATTGCTTTATAGTCTCTCTAGAGAAAAATGAGTATAGGAAAATGAAGCTATAAGAGTTTCCATATCTTTGGCATTTGATAAATGTTAATCTTTTTGTAGAAAAATTATGAATTAATATAAGATGTTGACTATCATGATGTCTCTGTTTACAGATCCCATGCAAGCATGTTTTTTGCTATGACTGTGCTATTTTGCATGAGAAAAAGGCAGATAAGATGTGCCCAGGGTAAGAGCATTAAATTCTTAAAAAGGAATGTTTGTGTGCTCTAGCAATTGCATTCTAGTTGAAGTGCACTGTGTATTTGCCTTGAGGTTCTGTCAATACGCTCTCCTAGAAAAGTTGTTGATAGGTGCTAGATTCTGTTAAGTTTAAGCTGTCAAACCACTTTTGGTGCTGATAGGAGCCTCTACTACCTTTTAAACCCTGGGTTGTTTAAAACCAAGTGTCATATTGGGAATGAAGATCCTGACATATGGATTGATCCCCTGGTTATGATCTCTGGGTAAATGTTAGTGGTTCCGGAACAGATTCATTAGTACAAATTGGAATACCTAGAAGAGTCTACCTCTCTGTGCCTGATCCTCGTTGAGAGAGAGAAGGTCTTCTGCTTTCTGGGAGAAAGGGCTTATTTGTTTTCCAACCCATTTACAGCTGACAGATACTTCTGTTTTCATTCTTTCAATTATCCACTCCCTTTGAGGTTAACCTTTTAGTTATTGATGATAATATCTGATGGGATTTTGGGAGAATAAGAGTACTTAGAATAATAATGTCATAATTGTAAGAATTGTGTCCTGTCTTTTGTCAGAAAATAACATATATGCCCAGCTGTACTAACAGAGACCAAAAAAATAGGAAATTTACAAAAATTAAAAACACAAGAACTCAAAACCCTGGAAGCCATTAGGTCTGTGGCATTTTATATTATCATAGTCCAATAAAGGATATTCATAATAATGACCCTAAGTTAAGAAGAGATGCTTTGTTTAACTTTTAGTAAGCTTTTTATCTCAAATGATTAAAATAAATAAAAAGTTGCTGGTTTTACTGTGCATAGTATTTTACAGAGGCTTTTGGGTACCTGCGGTTTGTTTTAAAATATGAATTTTGAAAGCTCTTATATTTCTTTGAGAAAAATATCATAAAAGGAGTGGGATTTTGTCTTTGCCTGTTTTTTAAAAATTCACCCTCGGGTGCCTGACACATGATTGTTATTAAACTAACGAATTACTCTAGACTTGAGAATTTTAGTTTCTTGAGCCACAAGTGCTAAATCCTCTAGTCTATCATTGCTAACATGTATTTGAATAGAGATATATAGAATATAAGATTCTTTTAGAAAATTCAGAATTTAGGAATTTGCTTTTGTTAGATTTTAAGGATGTTTTTAAAATATGGGTGGGATATATACTTTTGTTGGAATGTATTTTGAGTTCACCTGGAGTTAACAGCCTGCTGGGAAATAAAAGCTAGTAGAAGATAGAATTTAAGTGACACACGCTGTAATTTTCACATGTGAAATTGTGCTGAGTTTTACATATGACTTTGTTAACTTTTAGAGGTAGGATTTTTGTTTGCTGCGTAAAATGAACTGGTTGGGGATTGCTGTGAACAGTTAACCAGTGTATTTTCTTCTAATTTAGCTGTAATGATCCTGTGCAGCGAATTGAACAGTGTATGCGGGGTTCTCTCTTCATGTGTAGCATTGTTCAAGGGTGCAAAAGAACGTACTTGTCTCAAAGAGACTTACAGGCTCATATCAACCATCGTCACATGAGAGCTGCAAAACCTGTCACTCGCCCTCCAATTGAAAACGTTCATCCTCCTATTGCCCCGCCACCCGCTGAAATTCCTGATCGTTTTATAATGCCTCCAGACAAGCACCATATGAGCCATATTCCGCCAAAGCAGCACATCATGATGCCACCGCCTCCGCTGCAGCATGTGCCACATGAGCATTATAATCAACCACACGAGGATATTCGAGCTCCTCCTGCGGAGTTGACCATGGCTCCACCTCCCCCTCGTTCAGTCAGTCAGGAAACCTTTCGAATTTCAACAAGAAAACACAGCAATTTAATAACTGTCCCTATTCAGGATGATTCAAATTCAGGTGCCAGAGAACCACCACCTCCAGCCCCAGCACCTGCTCACCATCATCCTGAGTATCAGGGTCAACCAGTGGTTTCTCACCCTCATCATATTATGCCTCCACAGCAACATTATGCACCACCACCTCCTCCTCCACCACCAATAAGCCATCCAATGCAGCATCCTCCCCAGGCAGCAGGTACTCCTCATATGGTTTATAGCCAAGCTCCTCCTCCACCAATGACCTCTGCTCCACCACCAATTACCCCACCCCCTGGACACATCATTGCCCAGATGCCACCATATATGAATCATCCTCCACCAGGACCTCCTCCTCCTCAACATGGTGGTCCCCCTGTAAATGCCCCCCCTCCTCACCACTATAATCCTAACTCTTTGCCACAGTTCACTGAAGATCAAGGAACTCTAAGCCCTCCATTCACACAGCCAGGGGGAATGAGTCCTGGTATATGGCCTGCACCAAGAGGGCCACCTCCGCCTCCAAGAATGCAGGGTCCACCCTCTCAAGCCCCACTTCCTGGACCGCATCATCCCGATCAGACAAGATATAGGCCATATTACCAATGATAGTAGTGTTTTGAACTGAAGATACAGTGAGGGTTGGGGGAGGGCAGGGAACTTTATGTATTTTGAGAGAGGAAAAGCACCTCTTACAGAGGTGGCTGTAAAACACTCTTAGGGTCTTGTATCTTAAAATGTTTTTAAGCCTTGACCTTAGGACTGACTTCAAGTATACTGTAGTGCAGATAAGTGGCTCAGTAGAGCACAACTATATTTTAACAACTTTGTGCCCCTAGTGTGGTAAATTGCCCCAGAGTTGATCATTTTGTAATATTGTTTCCTGGAAAAAAAAATCAAACATTGTACCACTTTCAGAAGTATTGCTTTTGTTAAATCCGATGTTTAGTTTTTCTTGTGATACATTTTGTTAACCTGTGTAAAATAATTAAATTTCAATATGGTTGTAAAGATGCTATTTTTTATGTGAACTTGAGTGGAGTTGCATACTGTTTCTTAAAATGATATGTTTTGCCACTAATATTTTCCCAAAGGTTAAAATAAAATGTTAAGAGTATACAGAATTTTCTAGAGTTTACTATAAGGCAGACAGTTAATGGTAAAGTACAATTCTTCCACATTTAAGGCACTGCACTGAAAGTCTTAGGCACGGTATGTTTTGCACTTCACTTAAATGCCTTTGATTTTTAGGCAACCTCAGGAGCACCAAATATATTGAAATTACAGTACTATAATAACATCAGTTCATGTTAATGATGTTAAAATCCTTTACTTGTTCAAAAAGTCAGGGCTCAAGTAAATTTTGTAGGCTCCAAGCTGGTGATGCCGTTGCTCTTGCTTGTTTACTAATGGTTGGACTCATAGAGTGTACCACATTCATTAGTCTGATCTAAGATTATTTTGTAGAAATTGTTTAAACGATAGCATTCAGTTGAAATATGTATATCCTACTCTGGTTATTTGTCCTGAGATAAAGATTTAGAACAGTATAGACTACCAAAAATCTTTTTCCTAAGTAGAGGTTAGTCTTGGGCTTGAGTGGTTTCTTGTTTATAGAGTTTCAAATTGGAGTTTAAATACCGTTTAAGGCATTAAAATAATATATCAATGAAGGAAATTATTCTGGAAATATAAACAAATATACTCAGGCTTATTTTTATGTACTTTGTGATAGGGCTTCCCCCTCTAATTTGAACTTTAAAAGTACTAATTTATGACTAATTGAGTCCTGATGGTAAAACAATCTAACCTTAATTTTTAAACAATTTAACATGGAGTTAGTGAGCTGTATTAAATTGCTTCATTCCCACACATGGAAAGAGAAAGTGATAGTAAAGTTAGATGAATGTCCATACTTTATAATGTGCCTTTTTAAGAGTCAGTTTTTGCATTACAGGGTCTTGTTCACAGTCCAACTTAGATGATTAATTACTAGTTTAAACCTAACTTAAGTATGTGTGAGTTAACATTCCTTAGGGTATAGTTGAATGTCATAAGTAAACCATGTGAAGACTTTTTCCCCCATGCAGTGCTGTATAGTACCAACAAAATTTATGGTATGCACAGATCATTCAGTAGATAGTTTGTAATATATACATTTAGCACATACATCTTAGGATCTATCAATTTGCTGGTTTTATACTTTGTGGCAAAGTATGACCATCTTTAATGGGATTGCTTGGCCAGATGGTTGAAAGGATGAAAAGCTTTTCTCACCTTGATAATTGGGTATAAAGGCATCCCCACGCTTAGAGTTGAAGTTAGAGGTAACGCAGATGACCTTTATTTCATTTGCCTGAAATAGCTAATGCAAAAATTGAATCAGGTACAACTTAACCATTGAGAAAGTGTAATTTCATATTAGCAGTCAGACTCCAATGTTAATGTGATATTTCTAGTAAGAAATGAGAAATTCTTGTTATTAGAAGTGTGAGGGTGAAGTAGTGCCAAGTTTTGGTGATGAATACTTCTGTCCTGGCAGACAGTTGGACCTGAGCAAAATTCCCCTTTCCCTCAAAGTCACCCTTTCCTTCCCCCACACCTTTGCAATTAAGGGCTGTTAAAACAATAAGAACTATTACTGCTTCATGTCACAACAAAAAAAAAATAGTTGAATTCACTTTTAAATCTTGTCAGTTTTCATGAAGATTTTTCTAATGTGAAATTTCCTAAAATTGAATTTGAAACTATATTCGTTCTGAAACCACTTAGCCGACATATTGGAGACAAACTTAGTATTGTGATAAAGCCCACATTTTGTAGAAGTAGACTTTTTTTTTTTCCAGTGATAGTTTATTTGCAGTTAAATTTGGGGAGTGTATATATTTCTAATACAGGGAGCCATATCAAATGAGTTATGTTGCAGACAATTTTTAATGATATTAGGCTTGAAGACAACTGGTTATTGTTTATTGGGTGGGTGGGTAAAAGTGTAACAAAACCTTAGTACTTTTTAAAAGATAAAACATGTAAAACCCAGCTTTATTTCAGGGAAGCCTTTAAAACTGATGGACGTGAAGTCTAAATGAAATGTGTGTATGTTTCATTATATTGCTCTTAAGACTACTGAGGTGGCAGTTTAATTCTTAAAAACAATAAAATGGAAGCATAAATACTTACTTTGCCTAGATGCATTTTTGCCAAATAGTGATATACCTGGGACAATTTAGAATTTTCTTATTTACATTGAACTTAACTTTCTGAGGCCAAATTTATATTTCTTTGAATCTAAAAAGCAGCAACTCAGTTATTATCACTAACTTGTGTTGATGTATATATTCAAAACAGTTTTTTTGGGGGAAATTAAGTCTCTTCAGCATAAGTTGCCTGTTATTTTTAAAACACATTTGGTCATTAAAATACCCCACAAATCTTGCACAAAATCATTAAATAATATGTAATTGCATTTCAGTGGTATCCATGTGGAGAAATAAGTGTTTGAAATTTTTTCCCTCCAAAACCCACAGGTTAAGTAACTATATATGGAGTGTGTTATATTTAGAACTGAAAAGTTTTGCCGTGATTAATTATGGGGTGATGAGAGAGAGAGTGTGTGTGTGTATATTTTGAAGTTCTTAGGGTTTTTTATGTTTAAAGCCTCATCTTTAAAACATTCCTGTGGTATCCCAAAGGGCAGCTAGGTGGCGCAGTGGGTAGAACACTGGGCTTGCAATCAGGACTCTTCTCCGAGTTCAAATGTGGCCTGAACACTTACTAGCTGAGTAACTCTGGGCAAGTCATTTAACCCTGTTTGCCTTTGTTTCTCTTCTGTAAAATGAACTAGATAAGGAAATGGCAAGCTATTCAAGTATCTTTGCCTAGGAAACTCCATATGGGGTCACAAAGAGTGGGACACCACTGAACAGCAAAGGGTATCCCAATGTGTTAACTTAGCTAACATCTTGGATTGATTTTTTTTGATGACCCCACCTCTCGATTGGACTGCATGGAAAGAAAAAAATGGAGCAGAGTCAAATTCAGCGTCTTCCTCAATTAATCAAAGTAGCAAATTACTTCTTAATTCTCTATACCCAAATGTGCTAGAATAGTATTCTTCTGGTCATGCTGTTGTGAACAAATTTAACTTGTCAAGTAAATATGATTAAAATGGAAATGTTCACAATGTATATACAATTCAACAAATGATTGATATGTAAATGGACTAAAAATGAAAAGTTATTTTACTATTATTTTCTCAGAACCAAGTATGTAAATTTTTTGTCACCTCGTGGTTTTGTCACTTGAATTTTCTAACATGAAAGTGGGAAAATGTTTTATTTCCTAAAGTAATACTGTAAAAGAGTTTTAATTCTTTCACCTCTGTCACTGTTTTAAACCTTTAGATATTAAAATATCATGGGTAAGAAGAGAATTTTGAATAGCCTCCACATTCAAGCTGCATTGGATTAAAATCCATTCTACACATAAAAATACATAGCATAGGTTCTATAACTTTACTTTTTTTAGTTCAATTTTATTTCATTTTCAGTTTCAGATTCTCTACTTCACGCTTCTACTAATTGAGAAGGCATGAAATACAAAACCCATTATAAATATGAAGTCATGCAAAGCAAATTTTTGCATTAGACATATTTTAAAAAGGCAAGAAAAGGAAAAAAAAAATGCTTCAATCTGCACTCTGAATCCATCAGTTCTCTGAAAAAAAAGTGCTATCCACTTCCAGATGGAGAGTTGATGGTCTCTATAACTTTCCTTGATAGTCTATTCATAATTTTAACTTACAAGGTTTTGTTTTAAGTTTCTTCTCTCTATATTCCCTTTACTCATTTTTTTTCCAAGTTGAATACTCTGCTTGCTTAACTTCCTAGATAATGGTTTCAACATCTTTAGTAATGTTTGTAGTATTCTTTTCATCTCTAAGTTCTTTAGTTGCAGAGCTGAGATTAGCAAATAGCAGTCAGTCTCATGAGAATATGACCCATACTGATTTTAGTAGTTCTTTATCCATGGCTCTTTCTTTCTCTGTTGATATTCTTGTGTCCTGGATCAAGGTTGCTTTTTAAACTGTTAAAATATTACCTGAATTAACACATGCATGATAAATGCTAAAATAAGATGAAAAGTCTAATGATTACTGAGCTTTCCAGAAAATAGCTGGTTGTAATAAGGCATAGTGGTCAACATTCCTCAACTCATTGTCTTTCTTTTCTATAGTCACTGGTACTTTCTCAAGTCCTCTTGACTTCCCACCATAATCAGCATTGCTTGGGGGTAGCGCTAAATTTGGAATCAAGAAGTGCTGGATTAAAATTCTGCCTGGCATCCCAGACAAGTCACTTAACCTCTCTATGTCTCTCAGGTCCTCATTAGTTAAAATGAGGGGGTTGGATTAGATAACTTCTAATGTTCCTTCCACCTCTAAATCTGTAATCCTATACCAGTGAAAATTATGATAATATTAATAGCCAGCACTTATGTAGTACTTTAAGGTTTGCAAAACATTTTACAGATATCTCAGTCCTCAATAATTCTGGGAGGTAGGTGATAATCACCATTTTACAGATGAGGAAAACTGAGACAGACAGAAATTAAGTGACTTGCCCAAGGTCAAACAGTCTCAGGCTGGATTTGAACTTGGGTATTCTGAATTCTAGCTCCAGTTATCTACCTAGTGCACCAGTAATACAAAGAAAAGAGGGTCAGTTCAGACTCTAGATTTGAAGTCCGGGTCCTACCACTAATTTGCTAAGGACTTTGGGCAAATCCCCTTCTGGGTGTGTTTTCTTATCTATAAAATGAGATTGTATTAGTTTACTTCCAAGTTTCTGGTTTATCAGCCTCTGAGTGCATTTAAACTTTTTCTTCAAATTTGTTTCCACCTGCATACTTTATTTCCTTATAACTTATCTTATTTTCTCCCATGTGCAAGGATTTTTTTTTTAAATTGCATCATTAAATTCCAGTGTTTCTATGCAGCAAATAAATACAATACCCTGTGAGCTCTGTGGCATTACTGTGTCATCTAAATTTGGTGTCTCCCCCAATATTAGCCAGTTTTCTGCATGTGAAGGGGGTTAATAACAGTGGCTTACATTTCTGTAATGCTTTTAAGTTTATAAGATGCTTTTCTTACGACACTATAGTGTGGTAATTGTAAGGTATCTCTGTTCTGCAGATGGGCAAGTGGAGGCAGGTGAAGTGACTGGCTTATGGTCATACCACGAGTCAGTGTCAGAACCTGTACTCCAACACAGGTCATTTGACTCCAAATCTAGTAGTTTTTCCCACTAAGCTATACTGCCTTTGACTTAAATGGAGAACAGTCCTTGTTCTGCAGCTTCCTAGTACCAAAAGCAACAACTGTTAACCAAATGGCAGATAAGCACACAGCCATCCTCAGCAAAGGCAACTCCTGTGCAGATGGGGCCAGCTGTCACCAACTGTGCTTCAGCTCCCCCTCCCCCCTTCCTGAGGCAAGCTAGCTTAACAGAAGCAGCAGAGCTCCTGGAGGGAGAGATAGGAAGCGGCATGTACCCAGTAAATCAATTGACGGTCATCTCTCTTCAGACCCTGCTGGAGGCAGCTCAGGACTCTGAACCCCAGAGCCTCGGGAATACAAATGCTTCAGAATTACCATCTGCTTTGCCTCTGCACCCTAGGGACCACGGGACCTTTCCATTTGTCTTATATTGAAAACCTTCTATGTGTGTTGTTTCCCTTATTAGAATGTGAGCTCCTTGAGAACAGGTCCCACCTTACTTTTCTCTCTTTATATCTCTAGTGCTTAACGAAGTGCTTGGTCCATAATAAGCACTTAATGCTTTTCATTCAGTCATTCATTCATTCCCAGTCCTGCTTAGAGAACAGGAGAAATGGTCATTGCTAAGGGTGAACCTAGGAGAACTTCCCTTATGTGATCAAATGGATTGGAAAGTGACAAGAACTGAAATCCCTGTTCCGTGTAATTTTGGTTGGCAAAGTCCAGTGCTGATGCCTTGTAGCTGCACTGATTACTTGATTCACCCAGAGGTAGAGGGTCCCAGGGTAACTTGATTGACAACTTTCTTTTGTTTTTAACTCCACTCATTTTTCTTTTTGCTATATGAAAAAATTCTGCCCTGCCCCCGTCAATCTAAAAGCCATGTTAATTCATCCTTCTTTTTGGAATATTCCTTTAAAAAATTCTGATCATTATTTTTTATTTCTGATTAACATCTCCAATGTGAATTACCCATTTCCTTTTTATAATTCTCTAAATTAAAATTAAGTTTTTTAGACCTCTTTAGTAACTGAATTAACTAAAAATTGGGAACAAAAATTAGGAATGTGCACTTAAATGGTTGAGAATTTATACTTGTAATGAAAAAAATGCCTTTGTGATTTTACTACTGCTATATTTACTGTAGAGAGAGGATTTTGAAGAGCAAAAAGAACACTAGATTTAGAATATAAGGACTTCATTTTGAATTCTGGTTCCACCACTTACTGCCTTTGTGACTGTGCAGATAGGGCCCACTTGCCTTCTGTTTCCTCATCTATAAAATGAGGGGTTTGGACTAGTGACCTCAGGTCACCCAGGCAATAACTGCTTCTGGTTAGGTTAGCTTTGTGCAAAGATATAGTGTGCCTAGTAGAAGGATGAACTCCATTGTCGATGGGTGAACGTCTTCTAGGAATCTTTCAGAAGCAGCTTCATTCTCATGATCTCATTTAAAAAAAAAATCACAATGGGACAGTTAAAGGAACTTTAGAGATAGGCCACAAAAAAATTTTTTTTCCTTCCCCTTCAAGAATTTAAAAAGAAATTTATCATGACAAACAAACCAAGCTTCTGTGCAACTGAAAGGATTTTTAAAAGTAAAGTTACATTTTAAAGTTTAGGGTTATAAATTACAGAATTCAAAACAGTTATGTAAATGCATTATTATAAAGGTGTATAAATTACAGGGTCCAAAGCAGTTGTGTAAATACATTATAAAAACCCTTACACACAAAGGCAGTGACTTGGATTAGAATCCATCAGCACAATATAAATACAAATATATATGTACATAATTATTTCTCTTTTTGTCAGGTAAATCTATAAAATAAAAAATTAAGAGTATTTATATCATTTTATAGTAGACGTGTGAAAATGTACTATGTTAGAACAATCTTGTTCCAAAAATTGAAACAATTCCGTGTAGTAAAAATATTCTTCATATGATGTATGAACTTATTGATGATTCTCTGGATATAAAGTTATTCTATACTGGACAATCTGATAAAGAGCTCCCTGAATTTTATTTTGATTATAATTTTGTTTCCACAGGTTCCTGAAAGAGAAAAAGGCTTATTTTAAAATAAGGCATGTTGAATTTGAACAGTTGTCATGACTGAACATTGTACTTATGTTTAGAGCAGGGCTAGACATGCCAATTTTACCAGGATCATTGATAAACGTCCACATTTTTTTTTTATTTTTCTTAAATGTCAATGCCCAACCACATTCTTCTGTTGTTAGTTGGTTAGCTGAATCTTAATTAACTGTCTCTGTACCTGGGGCAATCTGGTTGAGGGAGAGAGCACGGGTTGTAAGAGGGGCATTTATAAGGGCAGCTAGGTGGCACAGTGGATAGAGCACCAGCCCTGGATTCAAGAGGCCCTGAGTTCAAATCCGGCCTCAGACACATAACACGTACTAGCTGTGTGACCCTGGGCAAGTCACTTAACCCCACTGCCTACTAAAAAAAAAAAAAAGAGGGGCATTTATGCTGGAGGAGGCAGCCCATCCCCAGATAGTGTAGCCCTTGCCTTTCTTGGGGTTGATGAGGAAGGTGGGTTCTATGGCAATAGCTCTGGGTATAGTAATACCACATGCCACTGAAGGAATTGGAAGGAAGTATGCTGCCTCCTTCGTTCTCTGGGATGAAACACCGTTTATGTTAGTTCTGGCAATGTTGGTTGGATCTGCCCTATGTATGTATTTATATTGTATTTTTGGTTTATCACAGGATTGGTAATCAATGCAATTTTTCTCCCCTTCACCCTTTGCTTCTGAAGGGTATTACATAAAACCCTTAATAGTTTATCCACCTGTAACATGGAACCTTTCTTCTGACATGGTTGAAGTTTTCATTTATCCTGACCATATCCCTCTGAAAAAGGGTGGGTGGGCGGGGCGAGTGTTATGATTCTTTTCAAAGATAGGGAGGTTGCTTTGGAGAGCTGGTAGCAAGACCGGAGATTAGACCCCAGTGTTTCTGACAGCTGTTCACTGTTCACTCTCCTGGAACCCTGAAGCCGAGTAGAGAGGAACTTTCAGATGAACCTCATACCTGTGTTAATTTAGTGACAACTTAAAAGTCAGCTACCATGGGAAGCAATTTCAAGTTCTTTCTTAATATTTTCTGTTTCATTGCACTTATTTCCTACAATTCCTTTCTTTAAAAAAAAAATCTTTAAAGTTTATAGCTATTAATTTTTTTTTATCATCTTCATTTTAGAATATGTTTCTCCTACTTCTGCTGCCCAGTGGAACATCCCTTAGGGCAAAGTGTAAAAAAAGGAGGGAAAAAACAGTCCAGCAAAACAAACCTACACATCAAATGAGTCTGATGGTATATGCAGTGTTCCACATGCCCACACAGTCTTGCACCTCTTCTTCAAAGAAGGGAGGGAAAAATGCGTGTTCTTCTCTCTTCAGGGCCAGGGTCAGCCACTGTCACCTCACAGTGTTCATTTTTGCCTACACCTCTTAATAATCTTAGTCCTCCCAACTCGAGGAATTCTCTTAAGGGTAAGCATATCCTACAAAGTTCCCTTTCCTGTTTGAACTCTGTAGTAGAGTAGGTGATCTGGGTTTGAGTGCAAGCTCCATCCTTAATTGGACCTCCAGTCCCTCAGTTTCCTTATCTTTAGAATGGAGATAATAACACCTACCTTATCTCTTAGGATTAGCATGAGGCTACAGGGAGATAATAGCTGGCAAGCATTTTGAAAAATGATATATAAATGATGCAGATTATTACTAGAATTTCAGTGACATTATTTTTAATACACTTGGAAGTGATTTGGGTTTAGTGTTCCCAGTAGCTCCCTGGAGATTGTATATTAAAAATAACTGACATTTATACAGTGCTTTCAGATTTGCTTTATACACATTATATCATTTTATCCTCACAACAACTGTGTGAGTTAGGTTCTCTTATTATCCTCATTTAACAGATGAAGAAACTGAAGTACAGAAAGATTAAATGACTTGCACACACACAGTGAGAAAATTGTAAGGTAGGGTTTGAACTCAGGGCTTCCTGATTCCAAGTCCAGTGCCCTGTCTACTACGCACCATTGTCTGTCCATCTTTCAAGAACAAAGCACAGAGGCCTTGTAGAAAATCCAAAGAACTTGTTCTTCCTTTGGTTTCTTACTACATTTATGCCTCTGACTTTAAAGGGCAAACAATCCTGCTGGAGCTATTTCATGTGGGAATTATCTGTCAGTTCCTGGAAGATGAGTCTTACCTGGCAATCCCTATTGCGAAGTCCTCCATTTGTGTTTATAGTAAAATCAACTTTCATTTCTTTCTCCTGAGATAAAAAGAAGTTCTAGTTTACAAGACAAGCACAAATTTTCCTTTATTTTAAAATACACAATTTTCAAAATGGTCCAGTTCAATTCCTAGAGACTATTCTAACCTCTTCAACGAACTCAATGTCACTATTCTCTTCTAATGTTAAAGTTGTGAGGCATTATTACTTACCTGATTGTGGTTGTTCTTTGAAATAATGTAGTTCTTTTTCATCCAAATGTGCAAAATGGCATCATGAATCGTCAGGAAAAATATTGAGCTCTGGACTTCCTGGTCAAAAAATCCACACCGTTCAAGCTTTTCTACAAAATTATCTGAATGGAAACAAAATGAAAATGTATAAGGAAAACGAGTTTGAACACAAAGTCCTTTCATTAAAGCAGTTTTAGATGTAGATATTATTTGCAAATATTTCATTTGTCATTTATGTCAGCTGAAGTTTTGGTGCCTTGCTATGCTATGGCAATAATGATAATTCATATTTTTCTAAGGTTTTATGATTTACAAAACACTTTTCTCACATCCACCCTGTGATGTAGGCAGTCTGTATTATTATTACCACTTTATAAATTAGAAAAATAGCATTTTACAGATGAGGTTAAATGACTTGCCCACAGTATCATCGCTGATACGTGTCAGAGCAGGCTCCAGACCCCTCTACAGAGTTTCTGTCCCAAAGTCCCTAATGCTTTCCCATTTCACCATTCAGCTAGCTAGGATATCACCAAACCATTAGCCTACTATTACAATAGCTTCTAGAGGACGTAGGGACAGATTTATTAAATCCTCTCATTCATATGACAGTAAGCTAGAACATTGTACCTAGAGACTCACTAAATGCAATTAAGATATTCACTGATTTATTTAACAAACATTTAGTAAGCACCTAATACATGCAGAGCACCATGCTTGATTGTGGAGATAGAAAATTTAAAGAAGATTTCATTCCCTGTCCTCAAGGAATTTACAGTTGAGTAGCAGTGGTGATACCAGGATGGAATTAGAGGTCAGCACACTCTGGGGCAAGTATTATCTTTGTCTCTTCCAAAGAAGGGATACATTCTACCTTTTGGGAAGGGGAAGTTCCAGGGAATGCTCACCCCAAAGACCCAGGTCCCCCAGCTCTGAGATTTATGGGTGTTATAATGATATTACATAAGGATTATTGTCTTTACCTTTCCTAGCAGAACACATCTTTACTGTTAAAGTTGAGATTTTATGGCCTGAGAAGTCTCAGAATTTATATCTGAATATTATGTACTTAAACAGAAAAAAAATCAGTTATAAATTTTATATTCATATTCTTAGGAGTGTCCTCATATATTCTGTCCATGTAGTAAGGTTGTACTAAATAATGATTAAATATAATTTTTTTAAAAGAATTTTAACATCCAGTTCACTAATTACTTTCACATCTGTTGTTAATCATGAACATTTTCATTATTCTTAATGATCCTTTGAAATCCTTTTTTTTTAAAACTATGGTAATTTTTTTTTAAAGCATAGGATAAAGTTTACTTAATAGTTTTTGTAGGACCAGCTGCTATTTAGGCCCTTCTGGTTTTTCTCCCATTAGGATGGTACCTGTTCCTTTTGAATTGTGTTCAGAATAGGCAGTGCACCAATTAAATGAAGGGTGGAAAAAAAGAAAGACAACTCACCGTCAGTCCCAACAATATACACATCCACATCGATCCTGAGAAATCCTTGCAAAATCTGTGAAGCAGAAAGCATGTTTTTCTTAAGAAAACAATCTGATGTCAGAAACTTGAAGAGAACAATGGTGATTATTCCTTTTGGGAGATACACAACTATAAGAACTTTTGCATAGTGAGTGGATCTAAATTAGTAGGTAATAGCCAGGGGACAAATTTCCAGGCTGGGGAGGAAAAAAAAGAGCTAATAAGAGAGAGTGTGCCTGTTTAATTATAAGAAACTAAAAATGGTGTCTAATAGTTTGTGGCCATAGTACATGGGAAAAATTTCTAATTAAGTGTCTTTTTAAATAAAAGGTTTTTTTTCTTTTTAATAGGAGGCTCAACAAAAATCTGTATAGTAATTAAAAGCAAGTAGAGACCTACAAAAAACATTCACTAGCAGATGAAATTTTCACCATTCCTATCCATTACGGCCAACTAGTACTATCAAATGACATCATTTATGTTCTTGGTGTGTCAGATTCCTTGTCCAAAATTTGAGGCTGTTGGAATGATAGGATGACCTCTGAGACCCTTAAATCCTAAATCTGATTTAGCAATTCTGATTTCATTTTAACACATTTTTACCGACCTTAAAGTATTACATAAATGTTAGCTATAATTACTACCCCGGTTTTAAATATTTTCTTATCTTCTAACTCCCTAGATCTTTATGCTGAGAGGTCTTACCAACATTTCCAACAAAATATACATTCAGGCATGACTAGGGTAAATTGGACCAGAAAAAAATGTTTTTGTTTTTGTTTTTTTCTTATTCTGGTTATGCCTCATTCATTACATGTATCATCATTGCCAACAATATGACAAACCTCTTGGATACAGGGTACCATGCTCTAGGTGTTAGAAATATCAAAAAATATAGAGCATGGTCCCTACCCTATGAGTCACCATGGATGAGCCTAAACAAACATTAACCTCATGTGTAAGGTAAAATTGAATTAATACAAATCTATTTGTACTTTATAGGTCTGACCCTCATAAACACAAACAGGTTGAAAACCCAGGAAAAAAGGAGAAAAAAGGGCAGAACTTCTAACATTTTCTTTAACCCTAGATATAATTTAGGCTATGTGAGTTATCTCTTTAGTTGTAAAAAAAAAAAAACTTTTAGGAAAATAGACCTCAAAATCGGATGATTTCCCATAACAGACTCAAACAATAGAAACTACTGACTGAAAAAAAGCCACATTTTCACAGGTCCTCACCAAATCTCCTCTGCTTGTAGCAGCATTTGGTTAAAGTAGGAATGACTGGGATATTTTTATCTGGGGCCATGACAGTTAAAGGCTGGAGATTGGGGTTTGTTGATGTTTAGCGTGGGGGGCTGGAGGGTAGGGGAGATGTATGTTGTGAAGTTGAAGACTCCTGAGATAACAGGCAAGAAGTAAGCGCAGGGGTCTCTGGAAGATGGAAGCACTTATATTTATCTAACTTTTTAAAGGTTACCAAGTATCTACCCCTCAACAACCCAGGGAGGTAGGTGGTATAAGTATTAATAGCTTCCTTTAGAGATAAGAAGACTGAGACCCAGAGAAAGGAAATGATTGTCCAGTGTCATATTAAATGTCAGGCTTTGATTCTACCTACATAAACCCTTTACTAGGTGGGTAGGTAGGTGGGGAAGTGGATAGAGTGCTGGGCCTGGAGTTGGGAAGACTCATCTTTCTGTGTTCAAATCCGTTCTCAGACACTGACTAGTTGTGTGATCCTGGGGAAAGAAATAGCCAACCGCTTCAGTATCTTTGCCAAGAAAACCCGAAATGGGGTCATGGAGAGTCAGACACGACTGAGTGAGGAAACTTCATTCACTAATGCAAGTTAGTGACTTTTCTCCAACTTCTAGTCTTAGAACATTGCCTAAACTAGAGCACTGCAAAGTTAAGTGACTTGCTCAGGGTCACACAGTCAAGATATGTCACAGGCAAGACTGGAACCTCACCTTTCTAGGGCAGCTCTAGCCACTATTCCATTTTGCTTTTCTCAAAATTATGTTGTTGTTCAGTCATGTCTGACTCTTCGTGACCCCATTTAGGGTTTTCTTGGCAAAGATACTGGAGTGGTTTGCCATTTCTTTCTACAGTTCCTTTTACTGATGAGGCAAACAGGGCTAAGTGCCCAGGGTCACACAGCTAGTCAGTGTCTGAGGCCAGATTTGAACTCAGGAAGATGAGTCTTCCTGAATCCAAACCCAGCACTCTAGCACCACCTAGCTGCCCATTCTTAAATCAAATACATTCAAAAAGAGGCTACCCTGGAGGGAAAAGGAAGGGAATCATTTGTTTATTTGCCAAACAAAGGCAATGTGCTCATCCTATGATGTTCTCTTTTTAAAGTACAAGAAAAACAATTCTTGGAGCATCCTTCCTGGAAGCAAAGTTTAAGCCTATAACCATGGCTCAGTTAGCTTTATTATATATTAAAATATATAGGTATATGCGTGTATGCATACACAGAGTCAGTTCTGCTGTAATGTGTATTTCAAAAACACATATTTGTTCAATGAAATCAATACATTAGGGGGCATTTTGAGCGTAACTCAAATTTCAAGTTTGCTTCTTCTCGATTTCTTCTTTGAGAAGCAGTAAGAGAACATAGAAAATAGTACCACATTCACACTAACTTATAAGCCACAACCTTTGTGACACCCACTTCCACAGGCAAAATTCAGGTCTCTGTCAAGGTAAAGTGTGGTATTTATTGTATGTCTTCTGGTGTAGTAGTTGCTGTGTGGGCAAAGGAGAGCTGAGCCTCCTCTACCTCCTCCCTCGCCCTTCCGCCCTGGCCTTGTGCAGCCCAGGGACAGGCCTCGCTGCAGACTCAGCCACAATTTATTGTGATATTTATGTGTTTCTTAACCATTTAACATGTAAAAAACTATGTTGCCACTTTTATTAGGTTTCTACCTTTTTTATATATTATTGTTGAAGTTTTTGAGGATTGTTCCTCTAACTCCATTTCCCCCACAAACTCCTTTTTTTTTTTTTTATGGTGGAATTTTTTAATGGTGTTTTTTGGGAACGCATGTATGTCCCATTATAGCAGAACTGCCTGGATAGATAGATTGGGAGGGAGACGGGTGAAGGGGAGAGAAAGATTTAAATTACCGATTTAAGGCCTCTCATTGAAGAAGTATCAATGAATGATACAGATGAAAAGTCAAGAATGAGGCTGTGAAGATGGATTTTGGGAACTTCAATGTTGAGAGGAAGATCTGAGTTCCAGTCTATCTGAAAGGGCAGATCTGCAGTCTGGATAGGCTGGTCCAATTCCTCTATGCGACTGTTATCTAGCTCGTCATCAGAGTCTTTGAAGCCATCAGCGGTATAGATAAATCCTTTCTGCAGGGTGGAAAGGCAAAATAAATATACGATATACACATACGTACATATGGACATGCGTCCATACATCCACTCTATGCATTTTCCTTATCTAGAATCAAGAAAAAAGATTATTTAAGTTAATAGTAGTCTGTTGATCAACAAGCATACATTAAAGTGCCAAATGCTGGGCTAGGGACTGGGCAATACAAAGACAAAAATGAAACAGTTCTTGCCCTCAAGAAGCTTATGGTCTTGAGGAAGGAGACAACATACATACACACACACACATATACATATATACATACATATACATATATACATACATACATATATATGGGTATTGACAAATTACATTCAAAATAGAAGCAAGATAATTTGGGGGAGACAAGAGGAGCAACCGGGAGGAATTGAGAAAAGTTGCATGTAGACAGTGACACTCAGGCTGAGTTCTGAAGAAAGGTGGGGATTATAAGAGGATGAGGTGAGGAAGGAGGGCATCCCAGGAATGGGAGCGGCCAGTATAAAAGCACAGAGATAGAAGATGGGGAATTGTGTGTAAGTAACAGTAAAAAGGCTAGTGTGCTTGTACTAGTGTATATGATGGGGAGTCCTGTGTGAGAAGTCTGGAAAGGTTGTGAATGTTCAAGTTATGAAGAGCTTTAAATACCAGAGCAGTTTATATGTGATAAGAGAAGTGATAGGGAGCCATTGGAGTTTATTTGGTAGGGGAATGGGTTTGACAGCTGTGTGGTTTTGAGAGGAGAAAGACCTAAGGTAGGGGGGAGACCAAATAGAAGCTATTGCAGTAGTCCGGGTGAGAGGTTACAGGGGTCTAAGTTAGGTTGGTAATAAAATCTAAGTACTTATTTGAAAATGATAACCTGCAACACAGTTTTAAATTAAGTCCTATTAATTTTGGATTATTATTTAAATTATTGAATTATTAACTATTAATTACTATGATTATTAATTATTGCTACTATTATTAACTATTAATTAACTATTAACTAAATAATTGCAGCTATTCTGCAACGGATATTTGAGGAGAAAGAAAAGAACATGTGTGCCGATCTCGAAATTAAGAAGTTTTCTGGTTGTTGTTCAGTTGTTTCTGACACTCTGTGATCCCATTTTGGAGTTTTCTTGGCAAAGGTACTGGAGTGGTTTGCCGTTTTCTTCCCCAGCTCATTTTACAGATGAGGAAACTCAGGCAAACAGGGTGAAGTGACTTGTCCAGGGTTACAGAGCTAGTAATGTCTGAGACTAGATCTGAACTCATGAAGATGAGTCTTCCTGATTCCAAACCCAGTGTTGTACCCACTGTGTCACCTAGCTGCTGAAATTAGGAAGACTGAAGTTCAAATCTTGCATTTGGTATCAACTTGGGAACGTGCAGATTAGTGGGGCTAAAATCTGGAAACGTATCTACTATGATTTCAGTTAAAATATACAGCTCTACATATCACATATAATATGACCGAGGCACTTACTGGTGTTATTTGTAATTGTCCCTTCTTCTCCAACTTTCGAATTTTCTTCAGGGCTTTGTTGCGCTTTCGCAAAATTCTAGCTGGTTTAAAACCAACCTGAAAAATATATCATTGGATTACAAACCTGCCAACCTACATTGTGCTCCTCATGTAGTTCATTTCTAAATACTTCGATTTCAGTTGAGTTGAAGGATAAGGACAAGTAATGAAGAGAGCTTCCCCCCTCCAAAAAAAATTTTTTTAAATGGTTCTTAAGAAGACTAGAGATACTATCCTGGGACAGAGCAACGGTTTATCCAGCTTGGTATTCTGGTTCTAACAATAACCTGAACTTCCCTTTGGTAATCTGTATTGCTCTACCATCTATAAATCCATCCAATCCTCTCTTGCACCTATTCATAGTGTTAGTCTGGGGAATGATCAAAGTGCTGATCTCCATATATTTACCTTCCTCATCTGTAAAATGAGGGAATTGGACAAGATAATTTCTAAGATTCCTTCTAGCTTTAAATCCTACAATCCTGCTTAAATTAAATACTATTTTCTTTCATTCATCCTAAAGAGATCTCCTTCAAACTTCAAAGGGTGCTGCTTAGCCCTGGTAATTTTAAATCCATCACCTGAAGGTAGGTCACCAGGTGGTAAATCATTTTGGACATAGAAATTCACTAAGTTATCTACTAAGACAGGAAGAGATTGGGGCCTTCATGGGGGGGTGGGATGTTGGGGAGGGGAATAAATCACTTATCAGTGAAATATTAAATAATTGGCTTTTATTATTCTAGGTTTCTCATTATATGATTATATATAATGTGTGTATATATGTATGTATGTATATACACACACACATACCATATATATAAAATATATATATATATTTAACAAACTGTAGCCTCACCTATATTGACCAAACTAGTATATTCAGGCAACTTTTCAGTGTTATAGTCATAAACATCTGTCTTCATTGACCCTTTGCCTTTCCCTTTGCCTCAATACTTAAATGATCCTTACAACTGTTGCTCCATCTCCCTCAGGGGAAGGACCAATGGAAATGTTCCCCTGGGGTATATTGGTACACCTGACTCATGCCCTATGGCAATAGTCCTTAGTTTTCGATGGAATCTAAGAAAGTTCTTCATAGAATGTTAAGAAGAGACCTTAAAGTTCATTATGGAGGGAGCATGGTGCAATGGAAAGAGCCCTGGCTCTGAAATGAGAGGACTTGGGTTTAAATTCCACCTCTGATACAATAGATAATGAATGTTGTTCAGTCATTTCAATTGTGTCTGACTCTTCATGACCCCATATGGGGTTTTGTTGGTAAAGATACTGGAGTGGTTTGACATTTCTTTCTCCGGCTTATTTTACAGATGAGGAAAATGAGGCAAACAGGATTGAGTGACTTGCCCAGGGTAGGACACATTTGAACTCAGGTCTTCCTAACTCCAGCCCCAGCACTCTATCCAGTGGGCCCAGAGAGATTGAAACACAGTGTAGTAGTAGAAAGTCCTTTGACTTTGGGGTTAGAGGACCTAGTCTGAATCTCTATTCTTTTACTTCTGACATCGGAAACATTGGGCAAGTTTCTTAATCTGTCTGAGCCTCAGGTTTCTCACTTGTAAAATGAGGAGTTTGGACTCTCAGAGATCTAAAACTGAAAGAGAGCTTCCAGCTCTCAATTCTTTATAATTTGCCTAGAGTCACACAGCAAATAAACAACAAAGCAGGATCTCCTTGATTCTATAAGACTTAGACCTAGATGAATCCTTTGAGAACTAGTACAATCCTTTCATTTTATAGATGAAGAAATTGGGGCCCAGAGAAGAGAAATAACTTGACCAAGATCATACAGGATCATACAGGTAATATGCAGCTGAATCAGGATTCAAACCCAGAGCTTCTGTTCTTTCCCCTATGCTACCCTACTTCCTGAAACCATGTCCTTTGTTGCCAATTTCTGTATTTTTTTTCATTACCCAACACTATCTCCCATAGTTTATCTAGTATTATAAATAGTCAAACTGGGCATGTGTGTGGGGGACAACTAACAAAGATTCTATCACAGTCTTCTCTGATGCACATAGTGCCAAAACTCTAAAGTTCCGGGGCAGCTAGGTGGTGCAGTGAATAGAGCACCAGCCCTAGAGTCAGGAGAACCGGAGTTCAAATCCTGTCTCAGACCAGACATTTGACATTTACTAGCTGAGTGACACTGGGCAAGTCACTTAACCCCAATTGCCTTGCTCCAAAAAACAAACAAACAAACAAACAAAAAACCTCTGAGTTCCTCTATTGAGTGGGACTCACTAGGAAAACCCCCACCTGTCCTATAGTTGAAGCTTACAGTATGTATACTTTGCACCTCTTGAAAAAGGGTAATGTAATGGAAAAGTCAACATTTAACAAATATTTATTTACTTCCAGATGAGGTACAAACAGAATTTCAAGACTAGAAAAGGCATTAGGAACTCAGTTATGTTCTTCACCTTTTTTTGGTTTTGTTTGTTCAGTTGTTTTTCGGCCACGTCCAACTCTTCATGATCCCATTTGGGATTCTAGAGTTCACAGACAAACCAACAAGTCATCATAAAGAAAACTGCCTTCTAGGAATGTCTAAGGCCTTGGAACAAGGCTTGTTAAAAACTAGATACTAGTTTGGCAAAGATATTAGAGTGGTTTGCCATTTCCTTCTCCAGATCATTTTACAGATGAGGAAACTGAGGCAAACAGGGTGAAGTGACTTGCCCAGGGTCACACAACTAGGAAGTGTCTGACACCAGATTAGAACTCAGCAAGATGAGTCTTTTTGACTTCAGAACCAGCACTCTATCACTAGGGCACCTAGCTGCCCACTGTTGTTCATCTGTGACTATTAAAACAAAATGGTGGTGGTGGTGGTGATTCCTAGAGTTAACACTGTGCTTCCTTTCCTTTCTCAAATTTGAGTCCCTTACCTGTCACGTGACAGTCACTTACTATATATTGTCATTATGACCAGTAGCAGGGATGTATTCAAATATCAAATACTCCTTTCTTGTTTCTGGATTGCTTACTTGTTCCTTACCCTGGGTTCCATAAGGAATTGGCTAGGGAGATAGCAACAAAATCCAGAATGACAAAATCACACTATGACACCGTTTGCTACAGAACAGAACTCAGCATAAGATGGTTCCATCATGAACCCCATCCAAGGGACTTTTTTCTCTGAAGAACCCAAAGGTATTCTTGCCTATGATGCAGTCTCACAACATGGACCCTGAGGACAGTGTGTAACAAAGCTCCCAAGCTCTGTGCTTTGTATTAGAGTTTACCATCTATTTTGTTAAGAAGCAGAATAATTTTTTTCCAGGAATTTAGAAGAATAATAGTAAATATACATAAGTATGTTTTTAAAAACATCAAAACTTACAGCATCAATAAGTTTTCTCTTGAAGAAACTAATATTTGCAAAATAAATAGGAGATGGACATTTGAAAATCTTCACTCCCTCTGGCTCATAAATCTATGTGAGAGAAATACAAAGTTAGTTTTTGAATATAATTTGTAGGGAATTAAGCACAAGTCAACATCAAAAATACATCAAGCAAAACAGAAAAGTTCTTACCTCAGGGTAATCTTTTCTGTTCTTATAGATGTCACTTCTTCCAACGTTGGCCAATATGCTACATTTCGGGCTATAAAGAAATGAGAATAAAATGAATATGACATACTGGAACTAAGTCTGTGACATAAAAATTGATATCTTTTTATGCCTTATTATAAATGACCCTTAAAGATAGGAAATATGTCTTTCTTCTTTTTCTACTTCTTTAGAGAGGTAACATAGTATAGTGGAAAGAGTGGTATGGTCAGGGGAAACCAGAGCTCAGATCCTGACTCTGACACTTCCTAATTGGTAAATCATCTAAACTCTCTAAGCCTCAGTTTCCTCAACTGTAAGATAGAGATAATGATACTTCTTGCATCTATCTCACAGGGTTGTTCTGAGGATCAAGTAAGACAATATGTTAGCTCTATGTGAAAATCAGTTATTACTGTTATTTTGAGTTTTGTCATAGTTAACACAGTACTTTTTCTTAGTTGTAAAATGGGGTTGATAGGCATTGTGGTGCAGTGGAAAGACCACAAGATTTGATGGTCAGAAGACCTGACTTCAGATCTCATCTCTTCTATTTACTAATTTTGAGACCTTCAGAATGTAACTTTCTGGACCTCAATTTCCTCTCCTGTAAAATGAGGAGGTTGGGCTAGAGGACCTCTAAGGTCCCTTCCAGCTATGATCCTATAGATCCTACTTGTACTCAGAGGTCTAGCTTCCACACCCAAGATATACTCGGACCAATTCCCGAGGTTGGTGTGAGGAAGTTGTTGTTGTTTAGTTTTATCAGTTGTGTCTGACTCTTCATACCCAATTGAAGTTTTGTTGGCAAAGATTCTAGAGTGATTTGCCACTTCCTTCTCCAGCTCATTTTATGGATGAGGAAACTGAGGCAAATAGAGTTAAGTGACTTGCTTAGGATCTCACAACTAATAAGTGAGGTCAAATCTGAACTCATGAAGATTAGTCTTCCTTATTTCAGTACCAGTACTCTATCCACTGCTCCACCTAGCTGCCCCATGAGGAAGGTCCTTGGCAAATATTAAGGCCTTGTATCAATCAATCAAGCAGGAAGCATTTATTAAGCACCTACTATGGTGCCAGGGACTGTGCTAGGTGCTGAGAACATAAAAACAAAAAAAAACAGTCCTTGCCCTCGAGGGGCTCATATTCAGTCAGAAGTCTTCTATCTATAAATGTAAGCTATTATGCCAATTGTTACCTTGCAAATAAGAGGCATTCAATAAATATTTATTAAAAAAATTTTAGGCATGTGAATATTTAACTTAGTGATATAGTGATATATCATGATATATAGTGATAGCATACTTTGTAATAGAGCTACTTAGTTCTTAAATATTAACAAGTGGTTTCTATAGAATATTAGGGCTGGAAAGAGAGACTTTCAAAAGTCTTCTAATTCAACCACCTGGTTGTATGCAGGAATGATTTGAATCTCAAGGAGAAGAATAATTTTCTTTGTTAAAATCTCTGCAGTAATGGGAGTCATAACCTTGCTCAGTAACTTATTCTAGTTTTTAACAAGACTCATTCCAAGGTCTGAGCCATTCATAGAAGGCAGTTATCTTTATGATGAGTTGTTGGTTTGTCTGTGAATTCATCCAAGGAAGGAGCTCCTGGTGAGGAAAATAGCAACCATTCTGAAATGTATAGTCTTAGCAAAGGGTACTTAGAGGTTACATGATTTGCCCAGGGTCACACAACTCAGTAGGTTTCTGAGACAGAATTTGAACCCCAGGTCTTTCTGACTCTAAGGTTCACCATCTATCTACTACTCCTTTTGTCTGTAATCAATCTCTATTATACAGGTGGGCAAACCAGAGCTTGGAGGTTTTATGTAATGTCTTTGAAATAGTGGCAAACAGGGGCAGCTAGGTGGTGCAGTGGATAGAGCACCAGCCCTGAAGTCAGGAGGACCTGAGTTCAAATGCGGCCTTAGACCAAACACTTGACATATACTAGCTGTGTGACCCTGGGCAAGTCACTTAACCCCAATTGCCTAAAAAAAAAAATAGCGGCAAAGGTCTGAGTAGAAATGGAGCTACAAAGTCGTGCAATATTGCTGCTCTTTACAGATTGTCTCTAGATAACCTGAGGGAAAATGTAATGGCCTATCTTATTTTTACAGATATTTCTGTCAATTAAACTCTACCTTCTTCTTCCATAAAAAAAATGACAAATTAATCTCTTCTGATTTAGGCTAGTCAACTCCTGAAAGAGTTCATGATCAGCATGCCCAGTATTTACTCACAACTGAGTCCGGAACACAACAGTGAGGAGCTGGAATGCAATGCTCGCTGCTAGTCCGTAAGCAAGACCCAGGACAACAGCAGCCAGGAAAGTGAAAATCCAGATTGCCTGGAAAAAGAAAACAACATACAAATCATACATTAAAAGAGTGATAAATCTCCGTCAATCAGTGTTAGGAATGAGGATAATGCAATTATTTCTCATTTTGTCAAGCTCAACAAATACTAAACCATATGCTAAGACGCACTGTTGCTGTGCTACTTGTCCTAATAGGGAGAAAGAATGTTTGCATAAAATGCTCAATAAAGTAGAATTTTAACTATATAGCTAAGGGTAACACAGGTTCTATTTATAAGAATTTGAACAAATTACTTGTATAATCACAGAAAAACTTGAAAAATCTGAGTTGAAGAGATCAAGTGCTCATCTGGTCCAACCTCCCCCCCCCCCAAGCTATAATTACAATGGGGCAACTGAGGTCCTTTCCAAGGGTGCTGAAATTTAGAGGTCATTGTCAATGCTTGAAGTATTTAAAATAGGAATTTATCAAATGGCACAGGTACTTTCTCTCCCTGTTAGCACTCTGGGTAGGTTCTTCCCTGATCAGTCTCTGCTCCCCTCTGGGTAGTGACCTTCCAAGCTGCAACCTCATAATTTATGGGAATCTCTGTCCACAGAGCTCCTCCCCATTAACACATTTGAAGGTGTGTTTTGTGCTGCTGGCCTTTGGGGCAAAAATTACTATTTCAGTTCTGAGTGTGGAGCAAGATGATGGAGTAGAGAAGGCACTCGGCTGAGCAGTCCTAACATTCCCCTCCAAACAACTGTAAAATAACTCCTCAAATCAAATTCTGGAGTGGCAGAGCCAACCAAAGGTCAGAATGAGACATTCTTCCAGCCCAAGGTAACTGAAGAGATCAGAGAGATCTGTGACATGGGGTCAGAGGCTGGCCTGGAGCCCACCTGAGTAAAACACCAGTGGTGGGACTAAGGGTGGTGACCGAAGCAGCAGCTACTTCAGGAGCTCTCAAACCAGAGACAGTAAGAGGACCTGGCAACTGGTCAGAACGAGATTACAGAGGACCCCTGTACTAGCACTAGATACAGGACCAGAAGCAGTTTTGGTAAATTCACGGCCTAGGTTGTAGTTCAAGGGTGTAGAGGAGCACTTTTGGTCAAGAGGGAGCAGGGGCCCTGAGGACCAGTATCAGGGACCCAGAGGAATAGCATCATTTTTGGTCCCAAGGGAACAGGTGTCCAATGGAGCAGTATTAATTACAATCCCAAGGGATCAGGGGCCCCTGCCTTAGTAAAGAACAGAATGCAAACCAGGAAAGCTGTGACCACACCGCTCCTCAGATCACACCATTTTGGAAACACTGAAAACTTCCAACCCCCCAGAATAAGCAATGAAAACAACAGTGTGGAAAAAGCCTGAAGCCTGAGACAGTCTACCTCCACCACACCCCCTTCCCTGGGAACAGAACCCAACTTTAACATAAAGTTCTAAATCAAGAAATAGGGTAGAAAAGCAAGCAAGCAAACAACAACAACAACAAACAACTGGAACATAAAAAGCTACTGTGATGACAAGACACAAAATCAGAAGACAATGACGTCACAACAGCTACAAGCAAAACTTCAAGGAACAATCCAAATTGGACACAAACTCAATGAGAATTCTTGGAAGAACTAAAAAAAATGATTTTAAAAATCAAATAATAGTGGTAGAGGAAAAATTAGGTAAAGAAATTATAAAATTATGAAAATTATGAAAAGACAATTAACAGCTTGGTTAAAAAAAGGCACAAAAATAATGAAGAAAATAACACCTTAAAAAACAGAATTGAAAAAAAAATTGAAAGAAAAAAAAAAACAGAATTGGCCACATGGAAAAAGAGGTACAAAAGCTCACTGAAGAAAACAATTCCTAAAAAAAAATTAGGCAACTGGAAGCTAATGACTCCATGAGACATCAAGGAACAACAACAACAACAACAACAACAAAATAAAAAGGATGAAAAAAATAGAAGAAAACATGAAATATCTCATTGGAAACACAACCAACCTGGAAAATAGATAAAAGAAAGATACTTTAAGAATTATTGGACTGCCTGAATACCATGATCAAAGAAAGGGTCTAGACATCGTACTTCAAGAAATTATCAAAGAAAACTGCCTTAGAACCAGAGGGTAAAATAGAAATATAAAGAATCCAAAGATCACCACCTGAAAGAGATCCCAAAATGAAAACTCACAGGAATATTATAGCCAAATTCCAGAACTCCCAAGTCAAAAAGAAAATACTTCAAGCAGCCATAAAGAAACCATTCAAATACCCTGGAGTCACAGTCAGGATCACACATGATTTAGCAGCTACCACTTTAAAGCAGCAGAGGGCTTAGAAGATGACATTCTAGAAGGCAGAAGAGCTGGGATTACAACTGGAAATAATCTACTCAGCAAAACTGAGTATAATCCTTCAAGGAAAAAATTAATGTTTAATGAAATAGAACTTTCAAGCATTCCTGATGAAAAGACCAGAACTGAATAGAAAATTTGGCTTTCAAATACAAGGCTTATTAAGAGAAGCATAAACAAGAAAAAAAATCATAAGAGATTCAATAAGGTTAAACTGTTTACATTCTTATATGGGAAGATGATTTATGTAACACCCAAATTATTAGGGCCTCTAGAAATATTCTACATAGAAAGAGGGCATGTGAGTGAGGCAATTATGTTGAGATGATGTAAAAAAAAATGGAAAAGGGAGAAAGACAGATACCCTGGAGGAAGGGGGAAGGGAGATGAAGAATAGAGAAAATTATCTCACACAAAAGAGGCATGCAAGGAAGATCTTTTACATTGTTGGTGGGGTTAGTGCTTGAAACTCACATCTAAATTGGTTCAAAAAGGGAAATACACACACACACACACTCAATTGGTAATAGAAATCGACATTACCCAACAGGGAAGTAGGAGGGGAAGTAGATAAGAGAAAGGTGTGTGTGGCGGGGGGGGGGGGGGGGGTGGTTTATGATAAAAGGAGGGTGGATAAAAGAAGGCAGAACTGAAGTCAGAAGCAAAATAGACTTTATAGAAGGGACAAGATAAGGAGAGGATAAACAGAAGACAGTAGGATAGAGAGAAATGCACAGTTAGCCATCATAATTGTGAATGTGAACTCGCCCATTAAATGGAAGTAGATAGCAGAATGGATTAGAAATCAGAATCTAATAATATATTGTTCATAAAAGCCACACTTGAAACACAGAGTTAAAATAAGGGGCTGAAGCAGAATCTATTACACTTAAGCTGATATAAAAAAGGCAGAGGTAGCAATCATGATCTCAGACAAAGCAAAAGCAAAAAAGACCTAATAAAAAGGATAAGCGGAGAAACTATATCTTGCTAAAAGGAACCATAGACATGAAGTAATATCAGTATGAAACATATATACACCAAATGGCATAGCATACAAATTCTTAAAGGGAAAGTTAAATTAATTACTGGAGAAAATAGACAGTTAAAACTGTTAGTTTTAGTCAACTACCTTCACTGAAAACTAGATAAATGTAATTATAAAATAAGTAAGAAAGTTAAGGAGATGAACTGAATCTTAGAAAAGTTAGTGGAGAAAACTTAATGGGAATAGAAAGGAGTATGCCTTTCTCTCAGCTGTAAATGGCACCTTCACAAAAATTGACCATGTATTAGGGCATAAAAACCTTACAACCAAATTTTAAAAAGCAGATATATTAAATGTACCCTTTTCAGACCATAATGCAATAAAAATTACATTCAATAAAGAGCTGTGGAAACATAGATTAAAATGAAGTGGAAACTAATTTAATCCTAAAGAAAGATTCAATCAAAGAATAAATCATAGGGATAGCTAGGTGACGCAGTGGGTAGAGCACCAGCCCTGGATTTATGGTTCAAATCCAGCCTCAGACACATAACATTTACTAGCTGTGTGACCCTGGGCAAGTCACTTAACTCCATTGCCTAGTTAAAAAAAAAAGGAACAAATCATAGAAATAATCAATTATTTCATTAAAGAGAATAACAACAATGAGACAACAGTCCAAAATTTGTAGGATGCAGCTAAAGCAGTACTTAGGGGGAAATTTACATCTCTGATTGCATCTTTCAATAAAAGAGAGAAAGAACAAATCAATGAATTGAGCATGCAACCAAAAAAAATCTAGAAAAAGAACATATTTTAAATCCCCAATTAAATACCAAAATGGAAATCCTAAAAATCCATAAAATTGAAAGTAAAAACCCCTCAGACCTGATAAATAAAACTAGAAGCTGGAGTTATGGAAAAAGAATAAAATAGATAAGCCATTGATCAATTTGATTTAAAAAAAGAAAGAAGAAAACAAATTACTAGTATCAAAAATGAAAAAGGTAAATGCATTACCCATGAAGATGAAATTAAAACATTTATGAGGAGTTACTTTGACCATTTATATGCCAGTAAAACTAATAATCTAAGTGAAATGGATAAATATTTGCAAAAATATAAACTGCCCAACTTAACAGAAGAGGAAATAGAATATTTAAATAATCCTATGTTAGAAAAAGAAATTGGACAAGTCATAAATAAGTTCTCTACAAAACAAAATTCCCAGGATCAAATAGATGTATAAGTGAATTCTGCCAAACATTTAAGAAACAATTAATCCCAAACCTATATAAACTATTTGAAAAATTAGATAAAGATATGTCCTACTAAATTATTTTTATGACACAAATATTATATTAGTGATACCTAAACCAGGGAAATCGAAAACAGAGAAAGAAAACTGTAGGCCAATGTACTTAATGAATATTGATGCAAAAATTTTACTAGCAGGGAGACTACAACAATATATCACAAAGATCATACATGACCAGGGATTTATACCAGGAATGTAGGACTGGTTCAATATTAGGAAAACTATCAGCATAATTGACCATATCAATAACAAAAACAACAAAATCACACAATTATGTGGATAGATGCAGAAAAAGTCATTGACAGTGATACAATACTCATTTCTATTAAAAACCCTAGAAAGCATAGGAATAAGTGGAGCCTTTTTTAAAATAAGTAGTCTCTAAAAACTATCAGCAAGCATTTTCTGTAATGGGAATAAATTTGAAGCCTTCCCAATAAGATGAGGGGTGATGTCCTTTATCACCACTATTTTTCAATATTGTATGAGAAATACTAGCTATAGCAGTAAGACAAGAAAAAGAAATTTAAAGAATAAAAATAGGCAGCGAGGAAACAAAATTATCACTCTTTGCAGATGATATGATGGTATACTTAGAGAACCCTAGAGAACCAACTAAAAAACTAGTTGGAACAATGAACAACTTTAGCAAATTTGCAGGATATAAAACAAACTCACATAAATCACTGACACCTCTATATATTATCAAAAAACCCAACTGGAAAAGATGGAGAAATTTCATTTAAAATAACTGCAGACAATATAAAATACTTGGGACTCTACCTCCCAAAACAAACCCATGGGCCATGTGAATATAATAACAAAACATTTTTCACACAAATAAAGACGTATCTAAACAATAGAGAAATATTTATTCTTCATAGGTAGGCCAAGCCAATATAATAAAAATGACAATTCTACTTAAGTTAATTTGCTTATTCAGTGCCATACCAATCAAACCATGAAAAGATATTTCATAAAGCTAGAAAAAATAATAACAAAATTCTTCTGGAAGAACAAAAGGTCAAGAATATCAAGGGAATCAGTGGGAAAAAAAAGTGTGAAGGCAGGCAGCCTAGCATTGCCAGGTTTCAAACTATGTTACCAAGCAGTAATCATCAGAGGAATCTGGTACTGGCTAAGAAACAGAGTGATGGATAATGAAATAGATTAGGTTCACAATATAATAGTAGTAAATAACCATAGTAATTACCATACAAAAAAAAAGTGAATCTAGTTTTTGATAAACCCAAGAATCCAAGCTTTTGGGATATTCACCATTTCACAAAAATTGCTAGGAAAACTAGAAAGCAGTTTGGCAGAAACTAGACATAGACCATCATGTCACACCATATGCCAAGATTACATCAAAATGGATAAATGATTTAGATACAAAGGGTGATAACAATAATAACTTACAATAGTATATAAACAACTATGTAAATTATAAATCTTGTAATGACAATCATATTAATATACAATATTCATAATTATGGTAATAAATGATTTAGACATAAAGGGTGATAATAAATAAATTAGAAGAGTGTGGGAAGATACCTGCCAGATTTATGGATAAGGGAAGAGTTTATGACCAAACAAGAGATAGCAAGGCTCATGGGAAGCAAAATATATAATTTTGATTACATCACATTGAAAAACTTTTGCACAAACAAAACTAATGCAGCCAAATTAGAAGGAAAATAGGAAACTGGGGGGGAAAATTTACAACAAGTTTCTCTGATGAATGCCTCCTTTCTCAAATGTATAGGGAACTGAGACAAATTTATAAAAATAAGAACCATCTAGGGCAGCTAGGTGGCGCAGTGGATAGAGCACCGCCCTGGGAGTCAGGAGGACCTGAGTTCAAATCCAACCTCAGACACTTGACACTTGCTAACTGTGTGACCATAGGCAAGTCACTTAATCTCATTGCCTAGCCCTTCCCCACCCCCAAAAAAGTAAGAACCATCTGCCAGTTGGTAAATGGTCAAAGGATATGAACAGGCAGTTTTCAAAAGAAGAAATCAAGTCTGTTAATAGTCACATAAAAATGTTCTAAATCACTACTGATTAGAGAAGTACAAATTAAAACAATTCTGAGATACCACCTTATGCCTATCAGATTGGCTAACATGCCAGAAAAGTAAAATGACAAATACTATAGGGGATGTAGAAAAATAGGTACATTGATACACTGTGGTGGAGTTGTGAGCTAGTCCAACCATTCTGGAGAACAATTTGGAACTATGCCAAATGGGCTATAAAACTGTGCATACCCTTTGACCCTGTAATACCACTATTAGATCTATATCCTAAAGAAATCAAAGAAAATAAAAAAGGACCTATTTGTTCAAAAATATTTATGGTAGCTCTTTTTATGGTGGTAAAGAATGGGAAATGCCGGGGATGTTCATCAATTGAGAAATGGCTGAACAAGTTGTGGTATATGAATGTAATGGAATACTATTGTGCTATAAGAAATGATGAGCAGGATGCCTTCAGAAAAGCCTGGAAAGACTTACATGAACTGATGCAAAGTGAAATGAGCAGAACCAGGAGAACATTGTACACAATAACAGCACTATTGTATGATGATCAACTGTGAATGACTTAGCTACTCTGATCAAGACAATGATCTAAGACAGTTTCAAAGTATCCATAATGAAAAATGCTATCCATTTCCAGAGAGAGGACTTATCAATTCTGAATTCAGATTAAAGCATAATTTTTTTACTTTCATTATTTTCCTCCTTTTTTGGGTGTGTGTTTATTTTTGCAGTGTGGCTAATATAGAAATATGTTTTGCATAACTTCACATGTATAATTGATATCAAATTGCTTGCCTTCCCAAGGAAGGGGAAAGAGGGAAGAAAGGAGGGAGAGAAATTGGAACTCAAAATTTAAAAAAACGAATGCTAAAATTTTTTTTACATACAATTGGGAAATGTTTAATGAAATAAATATTATATTTAAAAATCGCTATTTCAAGCTCTTCAACCCCTTGTCTGATATATAAATTCTATATGAAACACACCTGGCAAGTATTTAACCAGTCTCTGAAACTCATTACCTCATAAAATAACCCATTCCACTTTTTTTAAACAACTCTAATTTCTACAAAGTTTTGTCTTACATTGATCTGAAATCTGACTGTAACTTCCATCCCTTGGTCCTAGTTTTTTGTCCTTTGTTCTTGAAGAGGACCAATGACATCAGGAGGGTAATGTCTTAACTTGCAAGTAAATTGGGTTTAAGTGAGGCAGGGCTGTGCAAAGTTATCAGCCTCACTCTTTCCTCTAGGGTCATCTAAGTCCAGTGGCAAGACACAGGTCAGAAAGACTGGAGATGACCCCAGATCCAGTGGGAGACCTGGCCCTTTGTAAACTAAGGTCTTTCCCAGGTCTCAGTTTGTCTGAGGCAACACCCATTCAGTGATTTAGGGCTAGGTAAGAAATGAGGCAAAAGATGGCCTAGTTCGCCTACTCAAAAAAAAAAAAAAAAATCAAACTGGAAGGGGAAGACTCTCAGGATTTCTGACCAGAACAGAAACAATTGCTATTTACACTCACCCTGAGCCATTAAAACCCAAACAATGTTGATCCTACTATGCACCTACAAAACTATAATATATAAAATAATTATAATCCCTCTTCCATACATCAGTCTTTCAAATATTTTTAAATAGTTATGTGTCTAGTGGATAGAACGGGGTTTCATGTGACTGATTTCCAGATTGACATATGACCCCTCCCCACATAATTAAATACAAACCATAGGTACCCAGATATAAGAATGTCTATGACCTAAAGATAGCTAGCAAATTAATGGAACAAACGAAGAATCCCTTTAAATTACAAATCCTGTCCTGCGTTTTATATATGCAACATAAAAGACTACCATCATTTCATTTTTTCAAAAAGTACAAAGTTACTTTCTACTCACACAGTCATACTTGTCCTTTTTCCATAATCTGTACACTTCTGCAAACTGCATTAGCATCCCTTTTAAATTTCCAAGAGCTAAAGCTGCCAGCACAGACTGGTAAAAAGAAAAACAGGAGATAGAGGTTGTTGAACAAATAAGTTTTCAAGATGCAAAGGTGAAGGTTAATGATAAAAGAGGGCTTTAAAGGGATGGAGAAAGCCTGTCACAGAGTAACAGCTTTTCCGATATAAATTGAGTCATAGTAGTATTGAGACTTTGCCCTTCCCTGTACAGAAGCTTTGTTCTGACTCTCGAAACTCAATCTGTGCCACTCCTAGTGATTCCAGAGAGATTTCAACCTAATAGCCCCTAATAGCCCTAATAGTCACTAATTAGCACCACAGTTCTCTAAAGCAACTTGGCTCATGACTATGGTACAGAAGCCTGATCAAGCAGTCTCTGTTGATGTACTCCTTCATTTAAATTTAAAAATTTTTAGAAAGCAAACTATTCTGTATCAGAGGATTGTTTGAGTAATTTAGCTTGCTCAGATTTTGTTTATTTAGCCTCATAAGTTATTTAGAATAAGAGGAGGTCTTGAAATTATTCTGTATATAGCTTGTCTTTATTTATCCCGACACATGTTCCTTCTTCCAGTACAATGTAGATTCCTTTAGGTGGGAGAGATTACTTGCATTTTTGTCTTTATCTTCTTTCCTAGGGCTTAGTATTATGCCATTCACAGTGTCTAACATATAGTAGTGATTAATAAATGATTGTTGGCTTAAATTGAATTTAATTACTTCCCAAGTCAGAGCAGCAGGGTGGCACAGTGGATAGAGTGCTGGGCCCCGACTCCTCTTCCTGAATTCAAATCCAGCCTCCAACACTTAATAGCTGTGTGACCCTGACCAAGACCTTGCTTGCCTCAGTCTGTAAAATGAGCTGGAAAAGGAAATGGCAAACTATTGCAGCATCTTTGCCCAAAAAACCTCAAATGGGGTCACGAAGAGTCAGGTATGACTGAAAAATGACTGACCAATAATACTTCCCAAGTGAAAAAAAAATTCAAGCCCCTTAAAATTTTTTTGAAAAAACTTATTCCTTGCCTTTGTATAAAACAATCCCTGGTGTCATGAGTTGGAAAAAGCAGATACTTTTGTTTCAGGTGATTAAACATCAAAGAATCGTCAGAATGTTACTTCTGGAAGGGAATCTTCCACTAAGAAGATGGAAGAGGAACTAAATGAATTAAAGTAGGTTAGGTTTTGTTCAGTTTTTCTAAAGTTAATGTCAGCTAGACTGGTTCTTTAGCATTAATTGAGCCTAGTTATGCAGTTTGTAGAAAAAACAATGTAACAATATTTCTTTGTATACTTATGGATGTACATACATATAGGTGTACATCTGTGCTTCTGCCCTTGCGGTGCTTTCCTGTTATTGTTTGTATTTCGCAGGCATTTGATTCTCTTCTCTTCCTCGATATGTGTTATAGGTCCAAATATCTCATCCCATCCTGTCCCTTGCTCTCATATTGACCTTTTAGAAATCAATAAGATTCCACAGGCAGAGAATAGGGAGAAGTGCACCACATCCTCAGAGTAAAAACTTACATAGCACCCTATTCTAAAACAGACTAATCTATTGGGACAGGAACCTGAGGTCAGATCCACATTTTTGCTGTATTATAATAAAAGATGAAAATTTTCCAGTTACAAATCCATGCATATTAGTAGCTTATAAAGTGCTTTACAAATGTTATCTTGTCTTATCCTTGTAACAACCCCAGAAATTATTTCCCCTCATTTTACAAATAAGGAAACTATTATTTCCCCCATTTTACAGAAGAGGAAAATGATAATGGTTAAATGATTTGCCCAGAGTCATAGCCAGTAAGTATCTGAGGCTAAATTTGAACTCAGGTCTTCCTGACTCCAGGATTAGCACTCTATCCACTGTGTCATTTAGCTCCTAGCTACACATGACAAAGCATTGTATTACCATGTTCTGTGTAGTAGTATCATAAATACCTAACTATTTGTTTGGATGTCACATAGTATGTTACAGATCAGATATTTTCTATGATCTGCTATTATTTTTTTTCTAGGGGAAATTTGTTCCTTGAAATTACTTTCTATTACTTTGTTAGGGCTTAGTATTCACTTAAGTACATTCACGTTTTGTTTCCCCAGGAGAATGTAAACTTCTTTGGAAAGGGAACCATTTTACTTATGTATTTGTATACCTAGCACAGTCCTTTGACAATAGTAGCCCTCTGATAAATGTTGATCAAATTGAAGTTAGTTGGAGCAGTCTGGGAAATGTTGTTGTTGTTGCCGTTGCTAAGTCGTTTCAGTTGTGTCTGAGTCTTTGTGATCCCATTTGGGGTTTTGTTGACAAAAATACTGTAGTGGTTTGCCATTTACTTCTCCAACTGGGGCAAACAGGGTTAAGTGATTTGCCCAGGGTCATGCAGCTAGTAAGTGTCTGAGACTGGATTTGAAATGGGTCTTCCTGACTTCTGGACTTCCTGATGGCTCTATCCACTGTGCCATCTAGCTGCCCTGGGAAACATTATAACCTAGGTGAAATGGGTAGAAGGACATTTGAATTTCAGATCTAAGATCCCTGTTTGGGTCAAGGGTCAGGATGTTAGCTCCTGTTCCTTGTATTTGCTAGTCTTGGAGGCAAATCAATCCCTGGGGAGCTGGAAGGGAGTGTCTGTGAGAGACAGTTGTGTGGCTGGTAGCACCATCCTCTAACTTCAAGGAACTGATTACATTAAGTCCTGGAAGAAGTTCACGGCAACCAATTCTTCATCAAGATCTGATGCCAAGAGCTGGTCTTCTTGTCTTAACATAACATATTAGACTTGGGCCTCTCTGACATGGTCAGAGGAGACATGATAGAGTAGTTTGGGCATCTGTATTCCTAACATTTGTAAAATGTTGCTGGGAAAAATGAAAACAATTTGGTCAATCCAAATATTGGAATCTGTTGAGACAACAGAACTTCTAGCTACCTCCTTTTCCCTTTTAGTTCTTGTGTTGATGAAGCACTAGGACCCTTAGCTCGTGAATAGTAGGAGGGATCTTTTAAGCTCCCAGAGAATGGGGGTGGGGGTGGGGAATTACCTTTTGTAGTGGCTCCAGAAGAAATCCGATTGCCACGATGACAATCAAAACAATAATAGCTGAAAGAAACCCGGCAATCTGGAAAAGCAGAAGATTCTCATCACAAACTTGCTCAATCTTCTTGTCTGTGATATTGCAGTTGATTAATGTGCAGGTACCTTAGTAGCAAAGATTTTGAAATACCTGTGTTTTGCCTCCCGTGCTCTCCTGCACACCTGATCTGGAGAGTGAAGTGCTTGCTGCAAAACCTGTGAATGATCCACCAACTATGTTGCCCAAGCCAAAGGCAATTAACTCCTGCACCGAAAACAAGGAGGCAGTCTTTTAGAAGAGTGATCAGAGCTGTTTTGGCAACAAACAAACAAACAAAAAACAAAACTATTTTTAAAGTGTCTTAACAAGGCATGGTATAAGTTTTAGATTTACCTGATTTCCACTAATGTGATAATCATATTTAATAGAATATACACTTGCAACAGAAAATGCTACTGCAAATCCAATAATTGCAATGATGAAGGCATCACCAATGTTATCTTGCCAAATCTTCATAGAGGGTGCAGAAGGTATCTTAAATCTGAAATGAAGATTAGAGTTAAGATATTTCTTGCCTCTTGAGCATGAGTCCATGAAAACCTGGCAAACCTAAAAGCACTGGAATCTGCTATTTTATTAATATAAAGCCCTGTCTGAAATTGATGAAACACGCTAAATATGGCCCAAAGGCAGGAGATAATCCTGAATACTTTTCAACTGGTATGGACGAAGCAATATGCTCTTAAATTCACATCCTGATAGGCACAATAACAACAAAAACAAAAACAAAAACAAAAACAAAAACAGGGGCAGCTAGATGGCAGCTAGGTGGCACAGTGGATAGAGCACTAGCCCTGGAGTCAGAAGGATTTGGGTTCAAATCCGACCTCAGACCCATAATACTTTAGCTGTATGACTCTGGGCAAGTCACTTAATCCCAATTGCCTCACTAAAAAATAAAAAAAAAATTAAAAAAACAAAACAAAGAATTTTTAAAAAATTAAAACAAAACAAAAACAAAATCAAAACAAAACAAAAACAAAAACCACCTCTGAATATGGAACCAGTGATTTTATAGGCATAGGGTACTTCTAGCTGAGGAGATGCCTTCTATAAATACAGGTCAATACCCTCTCTTCAACTTACAGTTTTAGAGTTACCTGGGGCAGTGAAAGGTTAAGTAACTGTCAAGGTTCACACAGCATATCTCAGAGGATTTGAACTCAGGGCTCTTTGGTTTTCAAGGTTCCTTCCCTATCTATCACACCATACTGCTTCTCACTTTTGAGTCTGTTTGCAAAACAAGGTATACTTATAGTAGAATGCATGGTGAGTAAGGGCTACTTTAAAAAAAACAATACCATAATTCTGAGAAAAACAAAACAATGAAGTTTTGCTTGATCTAGAGGAAATCATCCCATATTTTGTGAGAACAGAAAGCCAAGCAATTAGTTGAGGAAAATTGCTGCTACACAAAATTGTTGTAGGCAGCCAAGTGGCATATTAAATCTAGGGCTGGACTTGGGGTCTGGAAGACTCGAGTTCAAATCGTGTTTGACATACTTACTAGCCATGTAACCCTGTGTAAAACCTCTCTATATCTCAGTTTCTCCATCTGTAAAATGGGGATAATAATTGCGCTTACCTCACAGGGTTGTTGTGAGGATCAGATGAGATGGCATTTTGCAGACCACAAAGTGCTATGTAAATGGCTATTAATATTATACTCAGAGAACTGGGGCAGCTAGGTGGTAGAGTGGATACAGCATGGGCTCTGGAGGCAGGAGGACCTGAGTTCTTAATAGCTGTGGGACCCTGGGCAAATCTCTTAACTCTGATTGCCGCCCCTACTCCCCACCATGTTTTTTCTGCCCCTCCCAAAGAGAATAGAGGGAAGGAAGATAGCAAGGAAAAAATCAGAATGGATGCTGAATGTTTTTCCTTCTCTTAAATTGTTTACATTTATATATTGCTCAACTGGTTTACAAAGCAGTTTACATATATTATTTCATCTGATCCTCCCCAAAACCCCAGGAGGCAGGCAATAGTTATGTGATTACCAATTACCTTTTAGATGAGAAAACTCAGCCTCAGAAAGGCAAAGAGATTTATCCAAATTCACATGACTGGCAAGCGGAAGGGACAGAAAATGGACTCAGATTTTTGCCTCTGGGTTCAAGACTCTTACCATCATGTCATGCTCCACCTTAAATATTATTTTAAAATGAATAAACTTGATAACCACATATATCTTAGTAAAATGAACAGAATAAAATATAGTACACGTCCAAATTCCATATGCTAGTTGTAACTTACATCTTCCATACTTCTTTCCAGTGGTAGCAAATGCTTTGCCAATGTTTTAGGGTTTGGGGTTTTTTTTCTTTTATTTCAAGAAAAATTTATTTTCTCTTCTTCCCCCAAAACAGAGAAAAGTGCCTCCCCCAATCCTTAACAAATGTGTGGTCAAACAAAGCAAATTCCCACAATGACTATATCCCAAAACAGATGTCTCATTCTGCATCTTGATCCTAACACCTCTCTGTCAGAAGGTGGGTCCTTCCTTAGTCTGCTGGAATGGTTTTGCTAATGTTTTCAAAAGGAACATCAGAAAGGACATTTTGTACCCATTGCCGAAGCAGCATACAGATTATTTCTTACTTGTCTCTTTTGAACTTGAAGTACTTGGTTTTGGCAACTTAACCAAAACACTATATATTGTTTATAGTAATTTATTAATGGGACCTGGTTTTGTTTGATTCTTCTTCATGAAAAGCTGGTTTATTTTGCCTATTCCTACTCCTTAGATGACTTCAAATTTTACTTGTTTATGTGTCTCTGAATAGGCTCTTATCCAGCTGGCCAATGTGTCCCTGTGCAAGGAGAAATCTTGGTGTATAAAAAATGAGATTTTCTAAAAAACATTTTATGATGTCTCCTTTCCTTCTTGTGCTTATAATCAATTGAGGAGGAGGTCAAGGGGTATGTCATGATAAGAAAATGACTGGTGGCAGGGCTTTGATAATATAGTTTTCTATTTTAAATTATTCATCTGTGAATAATCCTACTGTTTAAGCCAAGGATTGTACTTGGAAAGGCTCTCTTAAAAGAATACACTCACCCTCTTTCCATTTTACCAACTATCGCCACTTGAAATTTACTTTGGAAGTCAAAACCATAGGACACACCTGCTGCAATGACTGTCTGAAAAAAAAAACCCACAAAACAAATCACACATGTTAAAAACCCTGTGACCAAATAAGAGGCTCTATCCCATCTCATTTCACTTACTATCCTCATCTTTGCAGTTTTACTCTTGGATGCATAGAGGGTAGAAAAACCACATTTCTTATGAGGCTCAAATTCTCAGCGCTCCCAAGGTGAAATCTCTTAGGGGTGCTACATCAAAATTCTTTCTTTTTTCCCCCTGCTCTTTGAATTGGTCCTCCAAATACTCCTGCCTTCAATTTCCTAGGCTGCAAATAGTGCTCTAACAACTATCAGTATTAGTCTATACAGTATTAGTTCTATCTTCCCAATCCTGGCTCTATTATATTTTGTTTGCTGGTGGCTATTGCAGCAACAATTATTATTAATATTTATTAAATAGGAGGCAGCGTGATCTAGTGGATAAAGTGATTATATATATAAAAATAAAACCAGGAATACATACATACTATATATATATATATATATCAGGAAGATAGATAGATAGAAATATATGGGTTCAGATCTTGTCTCTGACACTTAGTCATGTGACCAAGACCAACTCCCTTAGCCTCCACAATGCAGTAGGACTTTGCTATGTCACAGAGAGTTGAGATCTGGCTTGGTAGGGGGAAGTGCCAATACTGGGAGTCTCACACTACTGAAATCACAGATCCTTCATCTATTTGAATATTTATTAAATGTTCACAATGCACTAACTACTGTGCAACAATACATAGACCTGGAATAGAGATTATATTTTATAGGTTAAAGTAAGCTCAAAAAATCAGGAAGTGGGCAAACTTGCATACCAGATGGTTCTCTCACATTTTGGTTTATTTGTGGCATGTAGAGGGACATAAAAGCAGCTCAGTATCTAGAAATATGTTGAAGGTACAAAGAAAGCCCTAATTAAAGAGAACAATTAAGAGGATTGATAGAATATGACCAATGAAAGAGATGCCAGAATCAAGAGTTTTGTTCCTATAAACATAAAACTACATTTCAGAAGATGTACTTTTTATTTTAAAAAAGGAAAACTTAGTTCTTATACAGAGAACCATTTAAAGCATTTTTCTGAAATTTGAGAATTAAAAAAAATGAACAGATACGGAAATAAACTTTCCCCTTAATTCTAAGTTTTGCCATCTATATTTCCAGCAAGGACAGTGAGTCCAGCCAGAATCATGAAAAAAAGTTATTAAACCTTGAATTGTACATGGATGATAGATTTAGATATAGATGGGACGTTAAAAGTCATCTAGTACTACCCCCTCCTCTTATAGGTGAAGAAACAGCGCTCTAGGGAAGACAGATCATTTGTCCAAGGTCATATAAGGTAGCGAGTAGCAGAGATAGGATTTGAATCCAAGTCCTTTGACTTCCTTCACTCTGCAGACTTTCCCCAATGCCACAGTTTTGCAGTATGATAGTTGTATGTAAGGAATTTATGAGATCTCAAGTGTGCTAATGCCTCAGGGTCATACAAGCATGTATAAGATAGAGAATGTATAAAAGCTACAAAGGAAGCTTTCCGATAAACACTTACCATGATGAGTTCGATTGGAATGGGTACTGGTAGTTTGTTTTGGAATCTCTGATTTATTTCTTTAACTATGAACACAATTATCAGTATTACGAGGGATGTCACAAGATCTGCAATATTAGTATTCCTAATTTGTGAAAAGATAGAGTGCAGAACCTAAAAAGATGAAAAAAAAAACATTATCACCTTCACCCACCACAATGAGCTATATTTTTTTCCAAAGAGAAAAGAAGGAGCCATTTGAAGACAGTGACCACAAATTGTCAGTGAATATGCTCTCATGCTAATTGGGAACTCATTTAGATGATAATTAGTATGTAGACGGCAGGAGAAGACACCAGGAATCACCTGGTGATGCTAAATCAGCATCCTGGAACAGAGCTCCATTGATTCTTGTTAAAGATCATTTTGACAGATGGCAAATTCCATGGACATGCCTCAACATTTTTACATTTATTTTTACTCTGCTTTCCTGCCTTCACAGGTATATTTCTTTGTTACACAATTAGTCTGTCTTCGCCTGTGAAAAACTGGAGTCCCAACCAATTCCTCTTAGAATGTGTCTTCTCTTTCTCTCTTTAATATACCCAGGTCCCCAGATTTGGAAATCAGTGTCCTAGATGGTAGAGTATGAACCAAAAGCAGACAGTTAATTAATAACCCACATCTCTACCCCAGGGAGCTCTTTGGCTTCTAGTTCTGGTGGAAAAAGAGTGGCTGGATTAATTCATGGAGGGCCTGCTTGACCAAAAGTAAAATTATATCCCAAAATAAAATTTAGTCTTGAATCCCTAACACTTGACTGAAGTATAAAAGATGACTCAAGAACAAATTCAATTGTCTTCCAGTGAAGAAGACTAGCAGTTGAACCAGACCTCTCAAAGTGAAGTCATTTTTTATTTGGGAACAGGAACTGGGTACTTAGAAGGAAATATTTCTGACATGATTAAATTAGCAGTATGAATCTGCTAGCTAGGTGGCACAGTGGAGAAAGCGCTGGGCCTGGAGTCAGGAAGATTCGTTCAAATCTAGCCATAGATACTTATTAGCTGTGTGACCCCGGGCAAGTCACTTAACCCTGTTTGCCTCAGTTTCCTCATCTGTAAAATGAGCTGGAGAAGGAAATGGCAAACCACTCCAGTATTTTTGCCAAGAAAACTCCAAATGTGGTCATGGAGAGTCAGGCATGACTAAAAAAAAAAAATGACTGAATGAGTCTGATAAAGTTTTAAGAACATAGGAGAGATTATAAGGATTTGAAAAGTAATAATGCACATTGAATCTCCCCCATTCCCATTTTTAGCATACTCAAGAATTGAGGTTAAGAGATGTGGTTTTAAATTTCTGTTATTACTGGATAATGTTCTATTAATAATAATATAATATTCAACTAACGGTTAGAATACGAATCATACTAATTTAAAATCATCTTTCTCATCTCTGATTCTTCTTTTATTATACTAATAATAGCAACCCCCACTTGTTTAACACTTTAAGGTTTACAAATGATTTTTCAGCACTTCTATGAAGTAGATAGCACAAGTATTATTATCCCCAGTAGAGGCTTGGACAGGCTAAATGACTTGCTGATGGTCATGAAATTAGTATCAAAATTATGATTTGAACCCAGGTCTTCTGACTCCAATGACTACAGTGCTCTTTCCAATATATGTCATTTTCCCATTAGTGTCTATTCCAGTATGATTTGTAGAGTCAATTATCATTGTTTATTCTACTACTTACTATCTTTTGGTTTAAATTAACTCTACAAGCTTCCCACCTTTAGAGTGAGGGTGGGGGGAAAAGGAATCCAAAGGATCAGGCAGTTTAAGGTTAGGAAAAATATGGGGAGTCAGAGTAGGAAGAAATTTCTTAGGAAAAGAAAGAAATAATAAGCTGGGGAAATACTTACTTTGAAGAGCGAAAAAGGGTCAGTGTGTGGAGGGACTGGGAGCTGGAGGATGAATTTCAGCTGGGACACCACAACATGAATTGCTGCAGCTGTTGTGAAGCCACTAATTAGCGACTCGGATAAGTAGATAACTACAAATCCAATCTGTAATATTCCCAGGCCCAACTGAAAAGGAAGGTCACAAAGCCATTGTCAGTATTAAATACTAGGTTAAACCAGAAGCCTGAATATTATCATCGAGAATGTAAAGGTATGAACTGAAACAAAAATCCAAAGCCTGTTGTTCTGACTACAGGGAATAGTACCAATCCATACTTCCCTCCTCCCTTGGTGTATTTCACCATTTTCAAATGGGAGCATAAACTTAGCATTCTCGATCCATAACAGGAATTAAAATTAAGATGCACTTTAAAAAACTAAACACAACATTTCATGGTTTTATACGCAATCCTCTTTTTTTTGTTCTTTGAAATCTTCAGATTTATTGATGCTGAAGTTCAAAATAATAGAGGAAAATTGTTTAAAAAGATAGACCTTGTTTAGTAGCTATGTCTTTATATCTTTCACCAATAATTTTTTATAATAATAACTAACACTTGTATAGTGTTTTAAGGCTTACCAAGCACAGTATATGTTATCTCATTTGATCTTCACAGCAACCCTGCGAAGTATGTGCTATTGTTATCTCCATTTTACAAATGAAGAAACTGAGGCAGACAAAGGTTTAGTGACCTGTCTGGGGCCATACGGGTAGTAAATGTTTGAGGTGAGATTTTAACTCAAGTCTTCCTGATTCCTAGCCCAAGACTCTCTCCATTGTGTTACTTAGCTGACAAGCTTTTGGATACCCATAAAACTCAGTTGTGATGCTGTTGGGTGTGTGCGTCTGAGTGTGTGATTGTGTGTGTGTGTGTATACTCAAGCACATATGTGCCTTTTAAAGTCTCCTGAGCCAGCTACTCTGTTTAAATAAAAGTACAAAGCTGCATATCCTCGGACATCTGAAATGCTCAGTCTTAACTGCAGATTGCCAGGGTCAACGTCCCAAAGCATCTGAATTTAGCACTAGACAAATGAGAGTTTCTCAATTCCTGACATATGGCCATCTCTTCTATTCATTGGGCTTCCCTGAAAAGCAGTATGAAACACATGCCACAAAGATACACAAAAGTTGGACATTTTTGTGAATATGGTCTTTACGAGTAGTTCAAATGATTGTTTCCCTGGGGGTTACATTGCTTATGTAGTTATAGAAATTTACTTTTTAAAAAGAACACTAAATGCCTTACCTAATAACACTAACCAAAAGCTCAGGCAAAATCTCAATGATTCTATATCATCTTTAATATTTCGTGATTTGGCTTTTCTTTGAGTTGTTATGTTAAATTTTACTCAGGTGTTTTATTGAATGGCAGATTTCAAATTTTAGCCGGACCTCATTTCCATTCCTACCAGGGCCAAGTTACTGGGGATTTGCCCCAGGGCACCAACTTATTTTCTTTGGTAAGGAGAGGCTTCTTTCCCATGGTGGTCCTTTTGCTTGCTTTGGCCCTGGGCCATGTGGCTCCACAATAATTCTATCCTTTCCCCAGGGCTTGATTTTTACCAGTCACGTATCTTTTCCTATGGTAATACCATACCCCTACCCTGCCTCCTCCTTCTCTCATTTGTCTTCTCCCAAGATTTGTATGATTGTTCCCAACCAGGATGGATTGGCCTCTGTGTGCCCTGCTCTAAATTGTCCCCAGGTGCCAGAATTACCAGTTGCAGCTCGGCTTCATAGAGAGCATTTGCAAACTCACCCCTCTGCTTCAACTGATCGTTCTAAAAATATTTTTTTTTTAAGTAACACAGGGATAAAACTCAGGGGAAAGTGGAGGAGAATAGATGATTTTTGGGAACTAGCCCTAGGGTAGAAAAACAACGATTTGCAACGAGCAACCAGACTACTCTGCTTCAAAGTAGTTTGATTGGTCAGTAGATTTCACACGATAACACTGACCTGAATAATTCCAACTAGAACGGTGATGGAGGCGGCTGCAGTTACTTTCTCTGTGTCTGTGGCGCTGCCTATTTTTGTAACTACTGCTCCCACCATCATGCTCAGAATTGGAAAAGGACCTAATTAACATTAGAGATGAATTACGATTAGAAAGTGCTTCTTAAAAATACAATTATCATTCCAACACAATTTGAAAAAAAATTTGAGCAAATTTCTATTTGTAACTCCCAGTCTTCCATAGAGCACAAAATGACAGATTTAGAGGCTGTTGAAATGGATGGTTAATGAGATGCAAGAAAGCAAAAGAGGGTCAACTCTCAATCACCACGATGACTTCACTTACCAACAGAGAGGTGTCTAGAAGTGCCAAAGAAGAAGTAGACTATGACAGGGAAAAAGGCTGCATAAAGCCCATAAACTGGGGGGACGTCTACCAGCAGAGCAAAAGCCATACCTGCAAGCACACAACAGATGGGAGCTCTGTTACATTCAACAACTAGAATTTCAGGCTAGCTCTCATCCAATTCTCTATGTATTTGGTGTTCAGACTTCATAGATGGTTACCTTGCAGTACAGCTACTAGCCCAGTGCTGATGCCAGAAACAATATCACTGAACAGCCATTCCTTTAGACGATAGGCAGGTAACCAAGAGGCTATGGGGAACAAGGAAAGGGCTACTTTCTTGGCCTTTTGTGATGAGCACCTGAAAATATTTTTAAAAGCCATAGATAGGTCAGTCAGCTAAGAGCTTCTCTAAAGTCCAAGTCTAGTAACAGCTAATCCTGATCACAATTGGACAAATTGAAGGCCCAGCATATTAGCAAGGATTAAAATATACCAAAGATTAAGACAAAAGCACTACCTCCTGCTATCTCTCACACCTTAACCCTCCCTTCCGCTGCCCTTACCCCCCTCCCACTCTCCCAGCAAGACTTCATTTCTTCCTGGTAGTGAAACATGCCTCTACTGATAGTCATTCTCTTACAGCTGGTTTATTTCTTTGGGCAGTTTGTGTTGAAAGCCAAGAGGGTGTTCACTTTAGAGGCTATCCTTGAAACTCTAGCAGGTGGTAGAAGAGTTGGGAGCCCAAAAGAAAAAAAAATCAATGGGAAATGAATGAAGATTTGAGTCAGAGTCAAAAAAAAAAAGTGACTGAAAGCTCAGGGATTTTGGAGTCAGACCCTCATACATCATTAAGCCCGGGATTTAAGATATTCCTTACCTACAGCATATCCTGAAATGGTCCAAAATTGTTTTATGGTGTCTTTTTATCTTCTTATGTTCTTCACCAAAAGCATTTTGTGAGTACACTTGTCTGGCCACGACATACTGATTCCCCATGGGCTCAATCATTTTGCTTTTCTTGTCTTGTGCTAAAGGCAGAGCTTTCTGGAAGTTGGTCTTGGATGCTTCTCCTTACCTTTAGCTGGTTAAAAGCCCTGAAAATAAACAACCAACCCTGCTTCTTAAATAACTCAGAGAAAATGTGATGCAATTTACAGATGAGTGAACTCCGAACTAAATGTTACCACCTTTTGAGATCAAAAGAAGCTGGATTAAGGAACTGAGATTGTGTTTTGCCACAGTGATATTCCTCTTTACTCCAGTGAGCAGTGCTTACCCCACTGCTCTGGGGTAAGCAAACAAGGTCCTTTTGAAAAAGACTGCCAAAAAGCATGAAAATTGGACTCAGTTTGCTCATCACTGAGTCATTTTTTTTTACCTTTTCATCAAGGAAAGGTCTTGACTTTTTTTTTTAATAGAAAACTTTCCAGAGTTTTGGTGTTGGGGTACAGAACAGAATAGGCATAAAGGCAACTTTGTGAATCCAACCCAAGCCAAAGATGTTCCAATATCTTTGCTTTCCTTTTTAAGGTGTCTCATCAATAGAACTCAAAGATACTAGTTTTCAAGTCATTTTCCTGTTATTGTCCCTGAGAGTCGAAGCGGAAGCAGGGAGGGGGTTGTATTTTATGTTTATCTTATAGATGAGGAACAGAAAGAGGTCAAATGACTTGACCAAGATGACAAATTATCAGTAACGATTTCACTTAAAATGGAAATCCAGGAAACAAAAAGATAAGAATTTCTGGGAACCAGCTCATTGCACAAAGCTAGAAGAAATGTGGCTTCATTATCTTGTATGTTGGTGTTGCAGAAGTAAACTCTGCTGCTTCTTTGGACCCACATCCCTTCCCAGTGAACTAGATTAGACACTAAGTAAATTCCTCTTCTCTTATATAATATCTTTTTTTTTTTTTGTAGATCTTTGAGCCCTAGGGCTTGGCATCTAATTATAGAATGGACCCTAATTTTAAGTCTCTACCAAGTCAATATTTTGAAAACAATTAACTTCATCTTTTCCTTCTCCTCACTGAATGGACCCCACAATGACTCCTTTAGCTTGCTGCATACATATATCTGTACCATTTTATATATTTGGTTTTTATCTTTGTCAATCAATTGAATTATTACTTAAATGTTTTATTGGAAGCTAGACTTCATACCCTAGCTGTTAAGTGGATGATATATAACAATTGTCTTCTTATCTTCATCCCTTCTCCCATTACACACTTTTTCTCTTATGTTTATCATTTATTAGCATAAGACACTCCCTATGATCACAATTTCCCTTATCATTTTAGTACCTCTTCATTTAATCCAGATTAGTGATATCATCACTGGGGAAATCACTCCACCAATGCTGATTGGCTCTTTGCCAGTAACTTAAAGCCTTAGAATGTTGCTTAGGGATCTGCGAGGATGAGGCCAAGTCCAATTGGAATCCATATCATTGGCTCTCTGATGTCGGTTTGTTATGTTCTACAGCACATTGCCTTTATATGCACCTTGATTCATGAAAAAAATACATGATGGATAAAAGTAGACTACAGCAAATTACCAACATGGATTTGTACATGAATGGCATAAAAGCCATCACCAAGTCACAGATAGCAGTCAGAGAGGTGAATTGATCATATAATGAGAATGAAGACCAACCAACACGGTCCATTAGTGTAAAGGTATAGAAAGAACTTGAAGAAGTCTTCCAATAAATTGGGTGGATCCTCTCTGAAGAACTTTCAAAAGGACAAAGACAAGAATTTTGCGGGAGAGAAGGTGGGGAGGGATTGCATTTGGTACACACCAATGAAAACTATAGATGATGATAATAACAGCTCACATTTGTACAATGTTTTAAGGCTTAAAAGGTGAGCCCCACCCAAGAATCTAAGTATCTCTATTCTTTATTCCCCATGTTCTATTTCCTGACCTCGCCCACATTTATTCTGCATTGTTATATTGCACTGTATTATATTTTTATTACCTCTATAATTAAATAGCGAAGGTGGTGGTAGCATGGTGTGGAGTCAAAAGCAGGAGTCTGGAACACTTGCTTCTGGGTTCTAGTTTTACCTTTGGACTTTACTCATTTTGTGACCTTGGGTAAGTCAATTATGTTGTGTATATTATAGTAGCTATTCCTTTCACGTATGGGTTGGACTGAGCTTACTAAGGTTCCTTCCAACTCTGAAATTCTGTGATTAACCTTTTTGGATCTTAGTGTACTATTTATAAAGTGGTAAAGCTAGACTAGATGCTTTTTAGGGAGCCTGCCCACTTGAACAACCTTCTCTTCTCAAATCATTCCCCACCTCCACCTCAGTTTTTCCTAAGAAAACCACTATTTGTCAGTTCTCTCCTGTTCTTTTTGCACTTCAAATTCCCTCAACAATGCTCCCTACTTTATTCTCCTTTGTTTAAGTCTCAAGGGAACAACCCCAACCTCCTGAGTCCTTGATCCCATCCCCTTACATCTCCTCTGGGAGCTTAATCACTCCTTGCCTCTTTATGATCTTTAATTTTCCACTGCCACTGGTTCCTTCTCTACTGCCTTCAAATATACTCAAATCTCAATTATCCTTCATAAAAAATCCCTCACTTAACCCTGTCATCCTATCATATATATGTATATGTGCAGATACATATATATCATCCTCCTTTTTGTATCCAAACTCCCAAAAAAAGGTTTCCTAATCCATTGCATATACTTTCTTAATTCTCACTTCCTTTTCAAACCCTTGTAATCTATCTTCTCAAACAACCACTTAACCAAAAGTGGTTTCTCCAAGATTACCATCAATCTCTTAACTGCTAAATTCAATCTCAGTCTTATTGACTTTCCTGTGGTTTTTACCACTGTTGACCACTTCCTCTTCCTAAATACTCTCTCTCTCTCTCTCTCTCTCTCTCTCTCTCTCTCTCTTCTGTGTGTGTGTGTGTGTGTGTATGTGTGTGTGTGTATGTGTGTGTGTTTTTTCAACACATTGAACTCTCTTGGTTCTCCTACTACCTGTCTGACTATTCTAGCTCAGATTCCTTTACTGTCTTGCTCTCTGGATGTGGGTATACTCCAGAGCTCTGTCCTAGGTCTTTTCCTTTTTTCTCTCTACATTCTCTCTTAGCAATTTCACTAGCTCCCATGGGTTCAATTATCATCTTTATGGAGAAGAAATCTATATTCATCTCTCCTTTGTCTTGTGAGTTATAATGCTGAATTAACAACTGCCTGCTGTGTATCTTCATCTAAATGTCCCAGAAACATCTCAAATTCAACATATCTAAAACTCAACTCATTATCTTCCCCCACCTTTAAAAAAAAACCTCACCCCCTTTTAACTTGCCTGTCTCTTTTGAGAATACCACCACCCTTCCAGTTATTCAAGTGTGTAACCACACAGTCACCTTCAACATATCCCTCACCTGCCCTCAATCCAATTAGTTGACAAGCTTTATCGCTTTGACTTTCACAGCATCCAGTATCAGTTTCCTTCCCTCCACTCACACAGCCACCCACATAGTGGTCCCTGTCACTTTCCTCTTGGACTCTTTTCTTTAATCCATCCTTCACATCATTGCAAAATTGATATTCCTAAAGTTCAGGTTGATTTTATTCATTATCTTACTTAAGAAACTCCAGTGTACTTCTCTTACCTCTAGGACAAAATACAATCTCACCTGTTTGGAATTTATAGCCTCCCACAATCTGGACCCAAGTCATCCCTCCCACTAAAAACAAAACAAAACAAAAAAAACCAACAACAACTTCTTATTACTCCCCTTTGCATGCTCTAAGTCCCGGCAAAAATGGTATATTAGCTTTTCTCCATATAGAACATTCTATCTCTTGCCTCCATATTTTTGCACAGACTGTTCACCAACCATAACTGGAAAGCTCTCTGTCCTTACCTCAGCCTCTTGGAATCTCTAACTCCTTTCATGATTCAGGGCAAGTACTACCTCATATAAGAGACATTTCTTGATTCCCCCATTTGACCCGGTTCCCCCCGCCCCAGAAATTAGTTTGCATTTACTCAGCACATTTTTTGTACGCACTCCTCTGTGTACGTTTCATATTTCCCCTGACTCACAGTAGAAAGTACCTTGAGGGTAGGGATATTTTGATGTTTGTCTTTTTGTCACTTATTATATACATACATACATATATATGTATATATACACACACATATATAATTTTATGTATATATATAATATAATCACCAGTGATTAGTATATAGTAGATACTCAATAGATGCTTGTAGAATTTAATTGAATTATGAATCCAGGAATTATAACATTACATCCCATGCTAAGATTGTTGAGCTAAGAATTATTTACAAGAGTCTGCCCCTGTTCCATTCTGGCATGACCTAACTCCTGCTTCCATTTCTCTGACCGCCATCCCAAGTCGTCTTTAACTCTCTCAACGCCGACCCTCTCTGAATCTGGTATGGCCCCTGTGCTCTGCCTCCCACTTAGACGTCTGACTGTAGAGGCAGTGTGGGAAAGTGGGAAATCAACCCTTAATACACGTTGATTATGGCTAAGTTCTCGGCATTCTGAGATGAAAGTGATGCAGCCCTTGCCCTCAAGGAGACAACTTGTATATATAAAAGTGTAATACCTTGTTATGATAATTAACTTCTTTTCAGTCTAGGGAGCAATATAATGGCCACTAAAGTCCGCTTGGTTTCCTTCTCTTTCGCATTAAAGGAGTTTATTTTAAAAGAAAAGTTCTAAATTCAGTCATAATTGCTTCAGGCTTCTAGTAATAAAAAATGCCTAACACCAAGACAGAGATGAAGTCCCAGTATTTCTAATTAACTCCTGCTCTTTTTATGGATGAGGTAAAATTCAGCTTATGTGGAAACATTTGGGTAATGAAATAGTACATTATTAAGATAGAGTCTGAGGATAGAGGGCTATTGGGAGGGGAAGATGGGGGAAAAGTTGACCTTTTCTTGGGACTCTCCTCAGCTTAGATCCTCTTCTCAGCAATGCCTGAAGAGACAGAAATTTCCTTAATATCTCTCCTCTCTGCCAGAGCTCTTCAGTCTAAATGCTGAGAATCTCTTCTTTTCCTCCCCCTGTGAATCTC